GTTGCAAAATGTATATGAAAAGGTCTGGACTCACTGCGCGAGCAGTTTCAGCTGTACTATCACAGCGTACACCTACGCCTGTGTCAATCAGCTGGGCGGAGTTGATTAGCTCCGCGGGTCTATCTTTTCAGTTATACATTTCACTGCGTGAGAAAATAAATGTGTAGCTTGACAGCGTGTGAAATATGTAATTTGTGTGAGTCTCGTGAGACAGCTTTTTTTACCTGACAAGAATTCTCATCACAATTTAATCTTGCAAGATCTCATGGCGTGAGATCTCGTCACAGCCCAAGTATTTATGTTTTTACCTTTTTTCATAATTTGGGTTTTAAGGCTTAACTGTTAACTTTCTTAGGTTTCTCATTGGTTGTTCATTTCCCTTCCTATATACAGTATAAATGCTTATTTCTTCCATCATACCACAGGAAACGGTGCACAATGAATGTGGAGAGTGATTTGTTCGTTTCCTATGAATGTGATGTGCTGTGCATGATCTTGTTGCTGGTTATGTAACCGGGTGGGGCTATATGAAAGTGTCTTAATGAGAGAGGCAGATGGTGGCAGAATTGGTGGGATGAGAGAGTGGATGCAAATCACTAGCCCTTCGGTTTCACAGCAGGAGAGGGGCAACAACATATTTTTTGGTGCATAGGAAGCCATTTAGCAGCTGGAAGCATCATGGAGGCAAGTGCTAAGCCTAGACTATGTAAGTTTTTATTTTTTCATTTGACTGTAAGATTTGTCAAAATTCATGGGAACACAGATGAGAGACAAATGAAATTGAAGCCCACTACTAATTGTCTTAGTAAGCTGGAAGGCCACTACTGTCTGTCAGTGAGCTTCAGTGGACCTGATGAACTCTTCCTAAAGGTCTTTGATGATGATGGTGGTGGAGAGCGCTATATAACCAAGCGGTTGTTTACTGCAAAGGGGTTGGATTTCTAGATCTCTTGATGAACCCAAGATCCTGTAGGTCAGCGAATCTTGATACTGTAGGGCTGTTGCACAGAATGAAGGGGACAGCCTAAGAGCAGACTTATTTGAAGAGGGACTTTTTTTAAATATGTCATAAAGACTAACCTGCACTGAATATACTGTCACTTCCTAAACCCCCAAACCAATCAGTAGCATATTGCAATAACATATCTGCTATGCTCTTGTCATTTTTAGGTAGGTTACTTAACATTTTTCACAACTGTCTAAGAATTAAATAAATTAAGAGTTGTTTTTTCTTTATATTGACTTAACACCAGTTGGAGTTGTGAGCAGGGATTCAGAGGCCCTGAACTAGGCTAGCATTGTCTAGCTTTTGAAATCTAAACTATTTCCATGAAGAATAAATGTCAGTATTCGTGTGTGCATTCTTCTATCGCAAGAAGGATTAGAGCGGAAATGGCTTTGCAAGATTACAAAATATGTCTGGTTTTACGGAAAAAAAGGGATTACTCAGCCTTTTGTGACGTTCCTTACTGTTGCCTTTGTTATCAATAATGTCTACCACCACCGTAAACATCTAGAAGAAAACTCTCAGCTCTGATGGGGCCACAACCATAGACTGTATATAAAAAGGCCATAACCCACTGTTTAAAATTGATCTGATAACAAAAATGTCCACATCTCAGTGCTTTTACACACAAGAATTAGCAATTGCTAACCTTGGTGGCTACAGGAACTGACCCTGAAAATAGGGGTGGTGATAGTACAGTGGCTAAGACACATGCCTTTGGTGTGTGCGACCCATCCACCAATGTGTCCCTGAGCAAGACACTTAACCCCTAGTTGCTCCAGAGGCGTCCGACCTCTGATATATATAGCAAATGTAAGTTGCTTTGGATAAAAGCGTCAGCTAAATGAGTAAAATATACAAATGTATATATTTGAATAAAGTTTAAAAAGACATTTATTGAGACTTCTTAAAACCACGTAGCTGGCTTTAAACAGTATTTTGTAAGGTTAAAAACTGTGGGTTAACAAATAACTATTCAAAATCAGAAGTGACAGAAGTTCTTTCCCACCTACTCCTTAAAGGCCCCTGTTCTTACATAATTATCTACTATGTAGGATGGTTTGTCAGTGTGTTTGTCTCAGATTTCTCTGTTGGTATTTGTGTGTGTGGGAAGCATTTTGCTCCGCAGAATGTTTGTGTGCTCAGATAAGCAGGGAGAGGTTTAGACGGAGACACCAAAAGGAGTCAGAGAGCGAAGCAGGGCAGGGAGTTTGGCACGGAGCCTTTATGAACGGGGCAAAGAAGGGCTATGATCCAAGCAAGTCAACAGCAGGCAACCCACTGCTCTCAAGGACAAGCCATGTCACTTCTCAAGGGCTTGTGATATAGATCTGTACAGACTTTTCTGCTATTCAGCATGAAGGCACCGCTCGGGTATGTGTATGTTCACCACCAGTCAACCCCGGTCCTTCTTTTTTAAACCAGCTGGAGAAAAGTCGGCATTAAAGTAAATCTAGCAATATGTTAACAAGTAGTTGGCTAGTAATAATTAATTATTTTATTTTATTGGCGCTTAAAATATTTAGTATTCACTCTATTTAGTCACTTTATGACTTATATGGCAAAATATATTAGTTGATTACCTACTGTGAAGAATGGAATGCCAGTGTGTTGGTTTGATTTTATCTCCAGGGGTGCTTGTTAGTTTGTGTGAATGGCTTGTAGCTCTGCAGCATGTTTGTGTGTGTAGAGAAGCAAGTGGGGAGGCTGTCTGGGTTGTGTTTGGACGGAAAGAGGGCAAGAGAAGCAGCACACAGAAATTATGTCATTGCATCATTTATCTACAGCTGATTAAATTGCCTGCAACAGTTAGGTAGATAGATAGCTGGCAAAATCAACAGCTGGAATGGCTCGAACTGTTTGGACAAAATAAATGATGAATCATTCAGCCTTAGATATATGCACCATTCCCAACTACGACTGCACCTGGACCTAGTTTGCCAGGCCTGAGGGGTGATATTTCATCTTCATCCAGAATGCCTCAGCTTATGAGCATTTAATTTGATTAGAGTTCAGCGTTCCTATCATTTCAACTCCACGGTTTAGACATCCACAGTGTCCTGAGGGCAAGAGGTGGGTGATAAACGAGTGTCCTCTAAAATCACAACTATTTCATTCCTGTGGCTTCTGTCAGCAATTCTCTGTCCTCATGGGAGCTGTTGAATAAAGTTTTCATGGGAGCCCTATTATCTTGTAGCTTTAGTGCCCTCACTAGTTCCATCCCTTGTCTAATCTGTTTGTCCCATCAAAAGATTTATCTAAAGAGCTGGATGCATTCTCCCAGACAGCGTTTTGAACCTCATGGACATGATGATGCTGTCTTTTAAGACAAGGTTGTTTGGCCCACGCATCAGCAAAACATGCCAGAGAGATTTACTTTCATTTAAAGCACACTGTTCTCAATTTGCACAATGTTTCGACTTTCAAAAATATGTTGGAAAGAACGTCACTAACCCTGTCAACGCTGTTCCCTGATCTCATGAGCCAGGTGTCTTACAACGAACACTGTCAGCAAGACTGGTAGAATAATGTCACATAGATGCTTCTGAGTATAATGCTGAGGGGGTGTTTTGGGTCACTGTGAGCCACATATGGTGTAATCATAAGCAGGAAACGTTTGTTAATGGCCTCAGCCAAACCTACAAAAACTTTCCACTATCCACATGAGTACAGAGGAATGAAGCTCTTGTTATTGAGTGAAGGGGAGGGGCACAAGACAGGGTTTCAGAATGAGCAAAAGTTATTCCTGTCCTCCCCTCCTTCTTTTCTCTGAGTAGGCATAGACATGTCTGGTCATGTCCCTTTGGTATATTTGAGTAACACCACTTGACCAATGGATCCTTGCTGGTGTGCCTTGGCTCTTACAAAGAAACTTTTTTAGGTATTCTCACAAAATCTGAGCAAATAAATGTTAATATATATACTTTATAAACCCTTTTCCCCTGCATGTGGCTGTGTACCAGTATGTATTATAAAAGTATTTTTTAACTAATAAAAACAAAACAAAGAACCCACTCTGTTATTGTGGAATATAAACAGAGTGCTAGGATACTGTAATAACTGTAGTAAGCTCTAGCTGTCTGTTACCCGAAAAGGACATACATGAGAATGTAATGTATGTTTTTGGAGTTGCCTTTTATTTATTATTGTGCCATTGCCCTGCTGTTGGCTTTCAGTGTAGATTTTGAGGTTGGAGCATCTGACCTACACCCTAGGGTTAAATAAATTTAACTTCAATTTAAATTGAGGTTTTGCTCTGAGTCATAAATGTAAAAAATGGCCTATAGCTCATTAGTTAGGAGTAGGTGAGGTGAAGTGCATATTTTTTACTGAATTACTCATAATGTGTGTTTCTGGGGACCAAAGCACTCTTTTTACCTGTTTTGAAACAGTTAACCAATATGAGAACGGGTGCACCAGCTGCCACAGCAGGAGGGAACTAAGCCTCCACCCAAATATATTCCAAATAGAGTTTATGAGCATTATGGAATAATTCAAATGATTTAGAGTCTAGAGGCACTGTGAGCAAAGGATGAACAGGGATGTAATTTTGGGGGGGAAAGGATTATCAGTTCAGATCCAAATAATGTTTCTGTATTTATCTATATCCCTAGCACATTTTCTGTCATTCTGTTGCACACACACACACACACACACACACACACACACTGACTTGACTTCTTCTTCAAATGCCACTAGGAAATTGCCTATTTGTCTGTGCCTACAGTTACTAATGTCCATTGATCTTTTTTAGACTTTAAAATCCACAACAATGGGAACAAAGTAAGTCATGGTTTAGTATGTCAAGACCAAAAAGCAGAATAATGCCAACAGAGATCTGGTATCCAAACCCGACCACCAAAGGGAAAGTTCACTTCCAGTTTTAATTTTTGTTTTGCTGTGTCATTATTGGTCCACAGAGTGTGTTGAAATGTATGGGAACTACTCATGTGTTGTACGTCATTTGTCTTTCATCATGACAGAATATCCATGAGCTCCGATTTCCCGCACTACAGTTTCAGGATGCCAAATATAGGGTTCCAGAACCTTCCCCTCAATATCTACATTGTGGTGTTTGGGACAGCCATCTTTGTCTTCATCCTCAGCCTACTCTTCTGTTGCTACTTAATAAGGTAAGATCCATATACCCTTTTGCTATGATTTGGCTTTTCTTAGAATTTTTATTGTGTTTGAAGTTGCTCTGCTGTGCGAGTATGTGGCATTAAGTGTCATACAGGGGTTTCTTTGGCTAGGCAAACATCTTCTATTTAGCGGGTGCAACAAATCATTTATCTGGTAAAAATTTTAACTGTATTACCCTGCTCATGCACTTTCCAAAAAATCCAGGATGGACGAATATGAATTTATCTCTGTAATGAAAAATGTTTTGAGGCACACTGGCTACAAATTCATTTACACATTCAAATTGATAAACAAATTGCTCCTTTCCATTCTTGTACACTCAACTTTGTAAACAGATTTAAAATTTACAAGTCAATTTACAATGTTCAGAAAAGGCGCTGTGCAGCCTGATTTACAAGACCGTGATGTGTACCTCTTTTGACTAGCAAACTGTCTTAATACTAATTGGTACTTTATATCCAGTAGGAAAAAAGTAAAGGTCAGTGCTAAACATGTCTGCTCCCTGAATTTGTTAGGTTCTGGTAATCTATTCTAAACAATTTCTTAAAATATCTAATAATGATGTAGTTTCTATCCAACAAACTGTATGGCACTTGTCACAATGGTTTTTTGATGAGGCTGTATTAAAAGCATATCTCTTTTTTTTTTTCAGAAATGTGTGAGTTAGTATTTGTCTTGCTGATAGTTATTTCATATAAGGTCAATATGTTTCAACAGCACAGTTTGGAGAAGGTAGCTATGATACCACAATTGGTGACTTTATAATCTGAATTGACAGGAAAAAACAGTAATATTATGCTGAGATCCAAAGCTGCTTGTCTATTATTATGATCATGGCACTTGGCGTCAAAGACACTAGTTAGGACCCTTTTCTTCAAAGAGCCACTAAACCTCCTTTATGTTGTCACTATAGTCATACATCTTTTCATTAAACTTGCATTTGGATGTTAAAATCTCATGTTTGTAACCATTAAAATTAATTTTATTAAAGGTCCTTTAGTATTAAGCATTTAGACCAATCCAGTAATTATTACCTATAAAGGAAAAGTGGAGGTGGTTACTAGTCATTGACCCTCTTTTTAACTCCACTGGTCTGATCAAATTGTCCTGGCTGCTGGTTTTCTCCTGGCAGCGACAAACAGAACAGAAATAATGTCCAACATTTTTTATCTAAGACAGTGAGAAGCAGCAGTTCCCAACAAAATTCACACCTCGCCACCTTCTCATATCCTATCTTGCAGGGCAAACGGTAAGTAGGTAAACTACAACTGTGTTCCTACAATTCCTCATCTAACTGTAACGAGACTTTATGACTTTGATGCAGTACCATGATTCACTACTGAAAATCAAGATTGCCAGCTTTAGTCACTAAAGACAAAATGAGCGATTTTGCTCCATAAAAGGCGTCTAAAGATGCAGTCTCCCAAAGGATTGGCCCATAATGACTTAAATTATATGTACCATAAGGCATGATGAATATACAAAATCCTCTTTTACAAATTTGTTATGGCCACTGCTTTGTTAAACCTCATAGTTCAGCATTAAGCAGGTATCCTGTGGTTTCTGTGCAGTAAGCATCATTGCACTTGTTTTACATTAACAGGTGAATGAAGAGACAAAGGAATTAATGTTAGAATAACAAAATAACATTCACACGAGTTTGATGCAAGACAGACTCTCACGGAAATACTGAAACACCTCTGTCAGTGAGTCACACACACATACGTGAAAAATATATGATGCAGTACACATTACAAAAACTTAAAGGAATTTCTTAAGCATGGGGTGTAAAGGACAGGAGGCCTTCAATGCCAAATTCATAAGCATGGCAATAAGTTTTATGAATGTGCAATGTTAAGAAACCTAGATCAATCTACAAGTTAGTTATCACTGCGGTTTGTAACATGTAGTGCTCATGAATGTTCAGTAAAGTGATTAAACCGTTTGGACATTCCTGACTATAATAATGGCTGAGACATATATTTCACATTTTGAGTTGCCCATTGACTGCAGTCAAATTATGATAATTTTGAGAAGAAGAGAAATTTGGACACCTGATTCTCCTTTTTCAGCCGATTATTCTTCTTGCCCACTTTGACATTGTACTTAAGGGCCATTGAGCCACCCCCCATCAGTCAACCCCCTCACCCATAATCAGTTGTCCCCTACCCTTGGGAGTCTCTGCACCTTTTCCTGCTGACCTCTTTCAAAATGTCAGTTTCTCTCCTAGACTGTGCTGCTTGTTTTACAGATCCCTCTCACTCTGCTGCGAGAGGTTAAGGTTACTTGTAATGGAGGTAAATCTTACAAACCTATGAATTTCTCCTATCTCTCTTGCTCTTGTTTTCCTCCCTTTTATTCTACATGTTTTATTGTCATTCTCAGTACCTAGATTCTCTTCTTATCCAGTGCTCTTTCTGTTCCCTGTTTGTTCACTGAGTTGTTTGTTTTGGCTCATTTACAAGAGCAATGTTTATTAAGAGTTAACCAAGAGTTTGATATAAACCTTAAACATTGGTTCTATCTGTGGATGCTCTTCTTTTTACCTGGAGTTTTGCAAGACCTTTTAGAGCGCCTCATCAACATACAGTAATGCTTTTAATGTCTGATCCAATGTATTTTAGGTGATATTGTGAGTTGATATTCTACTTTCATTAACAAGAAACTAAGGCCTAAGCCTTTTCAGAATGATATCTATCAATATTTAACTACTATTGTGTTACTAAGCAAAACAAATATTTGACAGAGTTTTGGAAGGTATTTTTATATATTCACTTCTTTCTGTAATTGGTTAATCCAATTAATATTTGTTTAGTCAGCAGACTCATGATTGTTTCACATGACAAATGCATAGGCAGAATCATCTCTGCACTGCTCTGCCTTTTTTTGTCTCTTTTTGAGATATATCATTTGTAAAAATCTAGAGAGAGATTATTATTATATTCTGTATGGATTGAGAATTGCTTTTTAATTCTAACACCCATTTGGTACCACAACGATCCACTAGAATAGACTGGTGTCAGAAGGCAAGTATTTAATAAGGATATTACATCCATGTTTGTCATTTTTCTCTCTTTTTCCAGGATGTATGAATACTTTGTCTCTTTATTTAACGTAGCCAGGTGGAGATGGTCACCTACTAATCAAAAAGATGTTTTGTCTTTACGTCTCCCCAGGTTACGGCACCAGGCGCACAAAGAACTATATGCATACAAACAAGTAAGCGCTCCAATGACACACACTCACACACACACACACACACACACACACACACACACCCTGCGGTCAAAAATCATACAGGACCTTTTGTCAAGCACAAATGAAGTGTCTGAAGATGTGTTCTTGTTCAGAGAAAATCATGAAGAACCCCTCTGGTCCCTAAATGTCTGGCTGACTCCTCTGTTTTTTTGGTATGCACAAGTGTACTCAAATTCTGAATTGCACTCAACCTAAAGTGGCTCAGCTGGAAAAGTCAGATTCACAGTTAGCTGAGTGTGTCAGCAGAGTTTAGCCTGCAAAGCTAGTAAGAGGGAGTGATGAAGGGCATAAGCATGACTCCTATGTCTTTCAGTTATGTAATATCAACATGCAAAAGCACCCAACATGTCAAAGTTAAGCATATGCACACACACACACACACACACACACACACACACTGGCACAGCAGATTTTGTCTACCCTACGTGTCTTACAACCTGCTGGCTAAAAACATTCATGCGTCCAGCTTTTCTGGGGGCTATTTAACACCACCAAGCTCATAGAGTAGACTCATACACAAACCCACACACACATGCTAAATGCATTTACTGGAATCCAGTAATCCATATATTATAGTACATCATCTATAGCCTGCTTGGTAGATTTTACATCACACACTCATTATTAGCTGTTAAGTCTTTAACTGTATTTTCACAGGAACTGGTTTCTGTTACCGTATTACAGTGACTAATCTATCCTTATCTCTTACTATGCCTCTCAGGTCATTCAGAAGGAAAAAGTCAAAGAGCTAAATTTGCATGAGGTAAGCACTGATCATCTTTGTTCAGTTAGCAGTTGATGATACGTTAACACCAAACATTGCTCTCTTAAACGATGACTATCTAGTGTGTAGAACAGTCTGTAATGTACACACTGTACTGTTATATCAGCTGATTTGGACTAACCAGTCTATGTGCTACTTCATTTTAACAATGCCTGAGCAACAATGTCCTCCATCGGTCATCCTTTTTGTACTTCTGTCCTCTTGGTTGTGCAGTTACATGGAAACCCATGATAAATGGCTATGGTTTGGGGCTTGCTGAAAGGGCAGCTCATGCCATCATTTTGAACATAAACATCAGCTTCCAGATGGACAATAAAAGGTTCCAAATGGTACAAACTCCTGTTAGGTAATGTGCATCAGAAGCAAACATATGGCATATGTCTGCACATATCAGGACACGTGGTAATGTTTGGACTATCTGCGCACAACTGTACACCTGTGCGCTTCTTTATTTTGAGAGTTTTCTGGGTTTGGTCTAGTTTGGCAACAACAATGACATATAAAATGTTTGTTAATTGACTTTCAGGACATCTGTCTTGACACAGTGTCATGTGAAAACTAGCATCTTGTGGTTAAGTCATGAGTGTTCCCACTACCGTAATTACAAAAAGCTGCATGACCGCTCAGCTTGGTTGGAAAATTACAAGCAGCAGTCAGTGTGTAAAGCAGCCTGGTAGTCCCAAGCCAGGAACACTATCCCTTTAACATTGTAGTGCAAATGAAATGCTAACAATAGCATCTTCACATGTGCTTTGACACGGGGCTAAACACAGTTGCTTGTCATCAGTGTTGGAATTTCCCACTGTTTCATCAGGCCTCAGGATTTCATTGTTTATGTTATTAGAAAAGAGAAAGCTTCAAAAGGTGTCATGTGTGTGAAGACTGACAGAATAACCACGCTGTATTTGTTTAAGGACAATAAGAAAACACACACGCACACAAACACACAGACGCATGCACTAGCCTGGGTGGATGACCCAGTTTTAGGCTCCCACGCCAAAGGATCACCCTGGAGACATGAGTATAGACAGAGCTGCATGAATTCAATCTCAGCATTTTATCTAGTATAGGAGTGCTAATATTGGATCAGTGTACTGGTCATCTTTTAGTCTGTTGGATGTGTAACCTTTCCAGTTATCCTTTTTGTAATATGAATTGACATTGTTTTTGAAAAATAACATTGATAGCATAAATCGACAGCATTCATGTCATATATGGTGTGAAAGTAATGCTGCTGTATGCCACAGTTACACACAACATACATATATGTGTGTTAACAGTCAGCATGTGCTTTGGGTGCTCAAACAACCTCCCCCGACACTCTAATAACCCATTTAAACCTACTGTTTTATAGGATGGCTGGAGTGCTGTACTGATTGTGAGGTTCTGTGGGTGAGATTTTAGTGTGCCTTTCATTCAATTTGCACTCACACTGTGTAATTAGTGTCTGTTTTACTAAGGTAGCCAATAATTTTGTTATCGGCTACGAGGACTAACTTCCTGTAGTAGAAAGAGACTGAAGGTGAGCTGACATGCAAGTTTAGCAGTGGGATTTGTTTCAAATCTGGAAGCTCAGAAAATAATCAAAATGTGGTCGAAGTAGAAATACTCAGTAATGAAGTGATTACATTAGAAAACAAACTGGCTGCGACTTCACAACACAGTGAGTAATTACATTAAAGAATTTTAGATTAACTGCCAACTTTCAGGTTAGGTTTCGCAAGAATAAGGGGTGGGATTGTATTCTGTTGTTTTATTTTTCAATTTATATAGGCTAAAGGTAATGATTTCATACGTTGTACCTTAATCCTAAAGGTGGAGTAAGCGATTCTGGAGAAATCCAACAACACGACAAATCCCACGATTTAGAGCGAACAATGACACAGCAAGTAAAGTAACTAACATTAGCGAAGTTGTGGGTTAGCATATTGTTGTTACAGGTGCTGGTGCGGAGCTAAAATGCTCACTGATGGAGATCAAGAAAATTAGAAGCACTTGGTACTGATTTACTTCTTATTTATGCAGCCAAACATATCAAGAAAGTGGGTGAAAATGAAAAGAAAACAGGCAGCATGTCCTCGTCACTCGAGATCCAGAGTGAGTGAAGAGGTATTGTTGGTCTGAATACCCACGTAGGGCTTAACTAGTGCATATTCTGGCCACAAATAGCTTTTGAGCATGTTCTTTTGACTAAGTAAATGTCACAACAAGAGGATATCTTGGCAAATTTTTATTTTGTGCCATACATTAATTTGTCTCTTGTAGAACTAAGGGAGTCTTATGGCACAATCTAAACTTGACATAATGTCTACATAATGTATATAAAACATAAAAGACCTATTCTTCTTTAAACACAGCTTGTTACAAAGCCCTAGCATTAAGTTGATTTGTAATTACCTGAGTAATCTGTTATTGTTCTGTCGCTGAACCTTTTATAGTCTTCTGAGCAACTCAACATTTGATATTACGTAACATTTTTGACAGGCATAGGTTAATGTTTTTTTCTCTGATAAAATCCGTGGTCTAGTAATGTTATTCCACATAATTAAGTCCAAGTGTTTTGCATGGAATTTGTAACTAAAGCTTACAAGATTAATTCACTTAATAGGGAGAAAGAGGTTCTGTCAGAAGTTGGCGAATGGTACCAGATCCCAACTGTGAGTGTGACACCATAGACAAGCCACTGAAAAGAATAAAAACATTGATCTATTCACAAATAAAGAGAGCAAAGCAGACATCTTAACAGATGATTGTTCTGTGTCCAAAAATCCTCAGGAGAGAAAGCTAAGAGCCCCCGTGCTGTTCTTTTCATCTTTCCTTGTCCATCCTGAGAATCTGTGTGGCTAAAGGACAGCCAGAAAACAGTGTGCCAAATTAAAACCCTCTTTGATGAAAGTGAAATTGTTACCCACTGGTTGGATGATGGGAATTCTTTTTTGTGATGGGAATGCTGAATCATTGTTACAGATTTTTGTACATTTTCTCACAATTTGAAACGTCCACTTCCCTAAGGCTTTCTAGTCCCTGGGGAGAAACTGTTTTTCACATTACTGTTGTCATTGCAACTCTAATGTTAATCTGGAGAGGGTGTAGTCAGCCATCTGCTACCTTCATTATATGTGGTTTCACTATCCAGCAGTGTTTTTCACTGACAGGTTCACACTACAGAGTTGTACAGTGAACTGATTGTTAGGTTTTGAACAGAATCAGCTTGTCTTGATGGCAACAGCTATGTAAATATCTGGTACAACCTTGCATTACCTAAAATATACATTGCATTCATAGCACATAGGTGCTTAGGTATACTTAATGTACTAATACCTAGCCACTGCAAGGAGAGGCATAATGGTCTCTGGGTTGCCAGTCAGGCAGCAGGCTAATAAAGGTGAGTGCCCTGGCAAATGTTCAATGGTTACAAAGCCTGTCTTTTGGAAAGTGAAGGATAGGGAAGGTGGAGTGCAAGTGTGACAGGAAGATCAAGTGCAGCATCTCCAGTGATGTGAATGTAAATACCAGACCAACTGGTGTTCTGATTTACCATTTATGCCAGCGGTCACCAATGATCTAGGGCTAAAACGATTCATCGATTAAATTGATTAATTCAATTACTAAAATGCATTGACGCAAATTCTTTGCATTGAGGCATTGTTTAATCCATATAACTATATAGCACACTGTTTTGCTGCACGGATATTTATTGCTGTCGCACATCGCGCTTACCTGTGTGAACATGACTGGGACAGATTATTATGGCGCTGTTTGCTACGTGGAGGAAGAGAGAGAAAATAGCGAGGGACAAAGAAGAAACTGTCCAAAGTATGGGATTATTTCAAGATAAAAGAAAACAACAACTCTGTAATGTTACAGTCCGTCCGCCGTAAAACGAAACTTATGTGGTCTACCCCACCACAACAGCACGATGGTGTAATGTTACAGAGAAGGATCCAGCTGTAGCCTGCAGACAAACGTGACGGAAGTTCCATATATGGTTCGTCCCAGAAGCTACTGCGCACAAAACGTGATGACGTTTATGTCGGCTGCTCGGCCCACGCATAGGGCTGTTAAAAAAGAGGTCTCAAGTGTCAACGTAGTAATCAGTGTACATTATGCATTAATATTTACTATACTATAATTCTATATTATTATTATTATTATTATTATTATTATTATAGTATATTAATACTATAATTCCTGTAAATATTTATTTATAATAGCCTAATGATAATAATAAGGCAATGTTTCAATTCATACCACTGTTGTTGTTGTATATTTTATTTGTTCCAAGGTGATTTTAAGTTTCACGAACCAAGAATATTCTGTAACATTACATCACCAGCCAGATGTATCTTGAGTTAGGTTAAAACTTTACAACATTACTGAGAATTTATGGGTAGAATAACAGTGGTACGAACAGTATCGTTCAGCTGTTGCTGGACACATCTGCTATGTTGGCTGCAGTGGTCTGTGTGACTGGTAGTGTTGTGTCTTTCAGTAAACGTATCGTTCATTTGACCTAATCTTGTATGTGACTCAGGAGGAACGGGTTGTCTCAGTGAGTAATGCGTTCATTTTCACGCATGCGTGAATAGTCTTGGACTCTTACGATCACTCGTAGCAGCTGCCTGGGCTCCATCAGCACAGGAAACAGACTTGATTAGTTCACGACTTTCAACTGTGGTTCTCTGGGTTTGAGTCGTTTATTTTTCACGTGACATCTCGGCTATTGTGGAGCAGGAATTAACTAATTGTTCACCGCTCACATGGGTCCTCGGAGTCTGTCTTCACTCAGCAGGCTGACTTACTGCCAGCACCGGAGAATGAGAGTCTGTTGTCAGGTAACAGTCACTGGACTGACATATATCTAATATCTATTTTGATAATTTTGTGACATTTAATGAAGCATAACATTATTACAGCGCAGTTTGTTGTGCCAAGTTATAGTTTTAACACAGCCGCACCGTAACTTTAGTCCTGCTAGTGTTTACAGCTAACAGCTGATGAGAGTTGTTCTGGGTCCACTTCAGAGCCCTGACAGAGTTATACCGGGAGCTGAATTACCACAGAGGTCGTCTCCTCTCCAAAACAAACGGACCGGCTCATTAAAACATTAAAACACAGCCACTTCGCAGCGTTAGCGTTAACCCTGTGGTTTGTTAACAGTTAACAGCTGATCCGGGTCCACCAGAGAACACAACTTAACTTTTACTTTTTATTTATCGAGAGCCGTGCTGTTGTTTCACCGCTCCTCACTGGTGAACAGTGTTTGAGATTATTATTAAATTTGTAAAATTTTAATAAGAGTATGTTTTATTCATCTAGTGTGTCAAACTTATTACTTAAATATATTCCCTGTAAATCTGATGTTAACATATAGATTTTACTCATGGATAGGCGTTAGGCTGCTGTATGAATGAGCACTTTAGAGATATAGTGATAGTAATTATAATTATATATATATGACTGGTCTGGTAGTATACTCAGGAAAGATTGTGAAAATGGACGGATTTAGCTGGAGTAGTGGCTTAATCGAATATTGACAACATATTTCTGTGGTTTTTACATGGTTTGAATTTGGTTGTGGCTTTATAGAACCATGATAGAGAAAGATCAAGAGCTGAATTTGTGCATTATACTTTGTCAATTACAGCAAGCAAAGCAGCCTTCTGTGTTTGAGAACTGCACCGTTTATTTTAAATCGCCCACTAGGGGGCTGCAGCGCTGCAATAACCAGCCTAGTTAAAATGAACGAAATGACACAAAAAAAGATTTGTTAATTTTAATGAACGTGATTTGGTGACTCGAGTCTTTCAAAATAGTGACTTTTACCATCACTAGTGCCTGGGCCTGGGGGAGATAACCGGAGCTAGCAAGCTAACTCTTAGTCAGATATTGAGTGAACATAGTGCTTAATGTTAGCAGCAAGCTCCAGCTGACTTGTGCAAATAAAATTTTGTTAAAATAATAAGCAAATTTACCACATAATACTCTGAACATAAATTTTTGTCATGTTGCTTTGCATTAGGATCTATACTGTACGTGTGCCGAGATTAAGGTCATCACGTTTTGTGCGCGGTGTCTTCTGGGACATACCATATTTGGAAGTTCAACTTCCGTCAGGTCTGCGGGCTGCAGCTGGATACACTTGTAATGTTAATGTCCGTCCACTGTAAAACGAAACTTGTGTCGCGTTACCGCAACAGCATCTGATCAGAAAGCACCCGGTAACCCAGACAAGGTAATAGTAACAGCAACTTTATCAATTAACTGAAATCATGATTGATTGTTGAGTAGAAGGCTAGCCAAAGTAAGCCGCAGTCCTCAGCTGTAAATACACGTGCGTTTGTGGTTCTCCTGGATGGGCCGTGAGTTTGGGTTGTAACGTCACAGTCATGAGTTAACTGGGTGTCGGCGAGCTGCACCTTAGTATAACTTGTATAGCACTCAGGTGATGTAGGTGTGTATTGGTAAAGCAGTTGTCTGGTTGTTGGTCTGTTGATGTTGTTGATCTGATGTTTGCTGTATGACACACTATGAATTTCTATATAGCTGGCAGGTCATGACCTCTTGGTGGCATGTCTGTTGAACATGCACGCGCTTGTGTGTATAACAAACATACAAAAAGACAAACAACTCCATCAGGATTGCCTCAGTGACCATTTAAAGGACACCAGCTAGGGAAATAATAATACGGTTATCACTGCGTATCAACCTGTTTTATCTATTTTGACAGAAAGTTACAGGACTGAGAGCTCACTGAAACTCAGAGTCAGGCAGAATGCACCAATTGTCTTGTTTGCTATGGTGCGGTGGTGTGGGTCCACTTATATGGCTGTGGCTGTCTTTATAAGTCTCTTACTTTAGAAAGAAAAGCTGAAAAAAAGATGGTTCTTCATTTCCATCATCCATCATGATCATTTTTTTTGTTGAAAGAAAAAAAACATTGCTGCTAAAAGGTGTCCTCTGGCCACCAAGTGAACTGAACTGAAGTCCCCAGTGTGAGTTAAGTCACAGTTATATAACAGAACATAATTGGTCAGTTACAGCTCTGTTGTTTGCAGATGTTACCCACAGTCTTCTTTTTCCATGAGTTCTTGACCTCCAAACCACCAATGCAAAGATCAGATTAAGAAGGAAAGAACCAAACAGAGAACAACCAACAAACTTGTTAACAAATTGTTGCAATTGCCTTCCTCAGAAAAGATTAGTAATTCCCCCCGCTCCCTTTCAGATATGTGCGGTGTGCTTGGAGGAGTTCAAACAGAAAGATGAGCTGGGGATTTGTCCGTGCAAACATGCCTTTCATAGAAAGTAAGTAAACGTTTTTGTTGAGATATACACACACACACACACACACGCAGTCATGGACACACAGATCAATACAGATTTCCTTACAAAGTATACATTTTCACAAATACAATTTAAAGAACATTTACAGAGAGATCCACAATTTTTAAGAGACTAAAGGGAAGTGATTGTAAAGTCATTGCATGGATGGAATGCATATTTGTGACAAAAAGTTTGTAGTTATATATTTTTGTACATAAAACTCAAGTCAAGTGTCTATGACATGAGGAACTAATGATGGATCGCTTGAGCCAACTTTATCCCACACCTCCCCCCACGCCCTGGCCATTTCAACTGAGTTGTTTATATCACCAAGACACCTCCCGTGACCTAGTTTTTTGCCCTCCAATTGCAGCAGTCACTGAATCCGCTGTATAAACACTCCGTTCAGTGTGTGTGTGCAAGTAAAGACATGCTGTTTTACAGAGAAAACAGACATTCCAAGCTGATGGTTACCAAAAGCATTCAGCAGTGAAGAGCATGCAATCTTCTCATACACAAAAACAGGGAAATTAAAGGTCAATAAACTGACAAAAAAAAAAAGGAAGAAACGTTAAATACATGGATAATGTATGATGTTTGCCTGTACATTTAATTCACTTTTGGAAGCCACTACTCAAGTTGGCTGTCTTGTGTTTAATTACGTTTTTTGCATTACAGTTAGTCTATAAACATCATAAAATAATGAAAAACACCCATGAAATTATCCCAGAGGCACAAGATGATGTCTTCAAAGTTCTTTTTTTCTGGTCAACAGTCCAAAACCCAAAGATATTCAGTTAATGATATAAAACAGACTAAAGCAGCAAATCCTCACATTGTCAAAGCTGGAACCAAACCTGGGCCCTGCTTCAGAAAGCGTGATTAGTGAAAATTCTGAGTAACTCCAGCAACTGATGCTGTGAACCTTCACAGGATAAGTTGGAAAACCGTCAGTTTCTCTCTAACTCATCCCCTCCCACGGAGCCTGAGGTGGCTGTCTGACACACCGTTTCATTTCCTCATTCATTCTGTTGACATCAAAGCACATATCTGAACGCATTTACATCTTTAAAAACTTTAAAATCCCGGTTAGATAGGCTATTAGTTTTTTACCCAAACATGATCTTGAACATGACCGCTTTATGATCAATCTGTCATCGATGTATGGACAGATCTTCGCACATCGTGGATTTAACCTCAGCACAGAATAAAATCTATGTCCGTCTTTAGGTATAACGCTGCGACTCTGTGGACAGTTGCACTGAAAACACTTACTGTGAGCTACATTACTGCAGTAATCACTGTTTAATATGTAACCTATAAAACTGATCAATGAACAGTAATCTTTCATATTGTAGGCTAGTCGCACTGATTGGAACATTCCTATTGTCGTTATCAACTGGAGATAATATGACTATTTCTGAGTGAGGATGACTGTGGTGCAGCTGAAACAAACAGGCCTAAATAAGGTTTAAAAGTGACTTGTTCATTATTAGCTGCTTATAGTCTGAATGGGTTTTGACAGCATTAATAAAATATGAAATGAAGATTTTATTAATGTAAAATAGACGTCTAAAACTTTAACCTATATACACGTTTTCCACTGCAAAAAATAATAAGCTAACCTGCTGGGTGTGTAATTGACAGGTTGTTTCAGCTCTACGTTAAAGTTGCTCCTAGATCAGTGAACTGTTGGGTGCAGCTATAATATGGAGTATTAGAGAATTTAATAAAACTGCACAGCCTCTGCTTCTTTGTCAGTGATTGATGGTGCTGGCACCACAAGCTGGAGAACAATCTCACAGTGATGATGATGTTTTACATAACCTAATTTTTTGACCTTGTGCTCTTAATTAGTGCGGTTGTAGAATGTGATTGTCACACTTTTTTAAAAAGAAAAATATGTATGAGTTGAGCATATTTAGCTGTGATACCGGTATGTGCATGACCACCACATACTGACCCTGAATAGCTGCCTACTCCTAACTAGGGCTGAACATTTAATCGAAATCGCAATATTAGCCTACTGCAATTTTCAAATCGCTGGGGGGTGCAATATTTGTTAATGGCAAAATATGTGTCAAAATATTATTTTAAATTAAATATTGTCGTGCTGCAGAGATGTCCTGGCCTACACATCATATTCTAGAGAATAAAAAAATTTGTTTTGGTATAGACCCTAATCACACCATAATCATATAAATATGTTTTTCAAAGAAAATTTGAATAATTATGTAAAAATTATTATTCCCACCAATAATTATTTAAATTAGATATTTTTTCAAAATTGTTCAGTCCTACCCCTAACCCCATGATTAAGTACTCCTCTGGGCAAGTTGCGCCATTGAAGTGCCCCTGAGTTTTATGTCTCTTCCACCCCTTCACTAATCTCTGTTGTCCTTTCCTTACCCATATGCCCACTGATCTTTCTGTCTTTCAGGTGCCTCATCAAGTGGTTGGAGGTGAGGAAAGTGTGCCCGCTGTGCAACATGCCCGTCCTGCAGCTCGCCCAGCAGGCTGGCAGCATGGATCCCCCTGTGCCAATACAGCAGCCTCTGCCTGGGATTGAGAACCTGGTGTAGCGGACTCATAGCCTCGCTTACAGTACACTACAGAAACACACAGTCACACATCCCATCACTCATACTCTCACCTGTACAGGTACACTTTGGTATGAGTCTGTGGACAGACCGGAGAAACTGGAGTTACTGCGCAGATACACACAAAAAAACTGTGAATCTGCACGTCTCCTATCCTTGCATTAGTTCACAAAAGGATTTCCTGATATCAGTTCTGACTGATGATCAACTGTTCTCATGTTTTTCTTTTTGCGGACGATGAAGAAGAGTTAATGTAGAAGAAGTTTCCTTCTTGGCCAAGACATGGTCGATAACTTTTTCACAACCAAAGCACTTTTCTGGGTACACCAGCTAAAGACCAGGAGGAGAAAAAAAACACAAAAGCCAAGAACTACAATACACTAAAATATAATTTGTTTTTTTTTAACGAGCACTTTACAAGAATTCAAACCTTAATTGCTTGTGATCGTAGTAGCAAGGTCATGTTTTATATTTTAACATTAACTATTATTTCTATGTACAGTACCAGGCCACATGTTTTTTTTTTTTTTAATTAGTAAATTTTGATTTTTAGACAAAAGGAAATATCTCAAAGGGACAACAGCACCTATGTTGGTAGATGTCAGGAAACTTGGACAATGCTTTGTGTTCTAATTGCACACACACACACACACACACATAAGAAATTAAGCTCAAAGCAACCTCGAGACTCCATGTCTAACTAAATGTGAAAGGTTTGAATGTGTTAAAACGCTGGATTTTTCACACTAAGCCTATAGAATTTGTTCCCACGTTTGTCATTCATTACAATATGACTGTTGTTATTATCTTTTTTTATATACAATTCAATACAGGAAGCTGATGAAGTGAACAAATTATATATTCATTAAAGGAATTTATCGGGTAACATCCTTTATATACACAAGTGCTGTTAGGCATGCATGGGTATATATACTGTCACCCCCGGCATTACTCCGTTTTTTCCTTTATCAGAAAAAATTCAGGGCCTCTCCAACAGAAAATTTTAGTGTCAAAGTAACTACTGTGACTATCTAAACCAGTATTAGTGTGTATAACCTGGTGCTTTATCTATAGAGCAGTTTTTTCAGAACAAACACCAGTAATGAGGCAATATTATACAAAAATCTATAAAATGTTCCAGTTTTACTTTGCTCTGCTGCTGCTGCTGCTGCTGCTGCTGCTGCTGCTGCATCATTTCATTTTGTTGAAGCTGAGCTGTGTGAATGTTCCAGTGGCTTGCTTCACAAAACAAAACAGCAAATGTTGAAGAGCCATGTTGATATATATTACTGGTATCACATATCCTGCTAGAAATGGTTGATTATTCAATGTGGGAAGAGACCAGGATGAAGCAGGCTTTTGCCTTCTGTCCTGTTCAGCTCCTACTTAAAATGTGCTGCAAACGCAGTTGCAGTTAGTTTTGCTTCTACCCCGATAGATAATCTGTATTTATTTTTTTATATTTATTATAATTCCTTGGTACAGCTGCATAGAGTGAATGAGTTAGCGGATTTGACACCTGCATCAGAATTACTGCCCTCAGCATATCATCAGCATATCTTTTGGTCAAGATACACACTGCTTTGTAAAACACACATGCACACACAGGGAGGGGGCTCGAACTGCCAGCGAGCCAGTTGTCAGCAGGTTGTAATGAAGCAGCATTTTCATTCATACACACACACACACACACACACATACATATACAGGGTAGTTGTGCTTTTTGGCTGCAGTATTCTGGTGCTTTCGCCTCTCTCCCTCTTTCTGTACGGTACAGGGTGCTTTTTGTTTTGTGCCACACATACAGTAACTCTGAGCCCTGCTGGCTTTTGTGGACATTTTTTTTGTCCTCACCCCTCTTTTAGCTGCATTTGGTGAATGTGTTGTTGTGTAAATGTGCTGATCTAAAATGGTGGCAAAAAAGTTGCGCTTCAGAGTAATAACCTTAAGAAAAGTTGGAGATTGCCTTTTACATGTGATATGAATTGTCAAATGACAATTCATATTCTTCAGATATCTATTGTTAAAGGCACAATCCATGATCCCAGTGTCAACAAAGGAGTTGTACCACTGTTAAAAAAAACAACTATAAAATGGAACCTGTCAGGACTGACACAATTAAATCCAACATTAAAATCAGAAATGTGTTCTGCTGCTGTAAAAGACTTGTTTACATGTTCTTTAATGTTTACAAACATTACTGAAGGAAAAATAAACAACTCAGCAGGCTTATTTTGTGAATTCCGATTGGGTTAGAAACATGTCAAATGTATATTCACAAATGTGTTTGTGAATATACTTAAAAATAGCAAGACAGACTGTTGATTGTACCTTTAACAACACATTTTTCCCAATTAGACTGTATTCTCTAACACCAAACACTGCACGGGGGTTGCACAGGTTCCCAACATGTGGGTGGTTTTATAAAACGACAATGCTTTTCACCACCTATGGCATGAAAGCATTGTTACTCCGACCTCTGTGGTTTGACTGTTTCATCCCTGTGGATTGTCTGCCCACACCCTGCAGTGATGACCTTTTGTGGTTGGGTCAGAGAAAGCAGAAAGGTGAAAATGTCAACTGTTAGATGAGAGTATAAGCAGGATTTATCTCTCCTGTGCGAAACACATTAGTTGGTTGTTCCTTACCCTTAACAAGATCCAGTCCTCTGGCATCAATGCACCACTATGCCACCACCGATGAGAAACTATTAACATGTTAATGCAACTCAAACTCAAAATCAACATATTGTCCACATTAGCCTTATTTGAACAAAAACTGCCACAATTACACACAACAAAACAGGGCTGTGTCAATTGCCAATATCACAAGGTCTTCATTCTACAGTATATTCATTTACAAACTATTTTAATTGCCTGGCCTGTTAGTGAAGAGCTTGTGGCTTTATGTTAAAGAAAATAAGCAACATAAGGGCCTTCCTCAGTATATTGTGTGGTGTACAGTATTTGTTACCTTTTTGCTTCTCAGTCTTTGTTTAGAGGACACTGTCCGTCACACCATTATCCCCAGAACTTTACTATGTAAACTATACATTGGCGAGTATTTCTCCTACAGTCCCTAAAAGACAACAGATTTTGTAGTGCAACGCTAATAACAAGTCTTAAAGCTTTGTTCCTGCTAATGGCATTTTCTTGGAATGTCAGGTTCACGAGAGATGGCAAAGAATATGAGGAGTTTTAATATGAAAGCATGCTATTTTGCATGGTCAAGTTTCCACTGATTTCACCATTGTTAAATGTATGTAGACAGTAGTATCAGTAGAGGTATATTTAAACAGAGGGTGCACCAAAAATGCTCCTTCATAGAAACACTTCCTGCCATTTGGCTATCTTAAGTGTTGTGTTTGATTGTAAACACTTTTAGCCTTTCCACCTGAACTTCCCCATTTCCTCCCTGTGTGCCGTCCTAATCCCACTGAAGTGCCAACTGTTATGAATCCAGTCCCAACCAAAAAAAGAGAGAGACAGAGAGATATGTGAGAGTCTTTCTCAGATTGTGGCCAAAAAAAGAATGGAAACTGAACTCATGAATATAGTAATTAATTGCTTGTCTGCACTGAAATCACTATTGACGTCAATGCTGCTTGTGAGTTATCTCCATTAATAGACAAGACACAATCAGATGGAATATGACAGTCAGGAGCACCGCTTTGCATCAAACATAGTAGAAGTAGAAAGTGTCTGAATTGGGGATGCACCGAAATGAAAATTCTTGGCCTAAGCAGAAAATTATGAAAATAATTGCTGAATACCAGATACCGAACAAGTACATTCACAATGTTTCCATTTATTTTCCCTTATTATTATTATTATTTTTTTTTTTTTTACCATTGCATAAATTAAATAGTCAAAATGTGCTTTTTACTCAGTGTTTCCCACAGGATTTGGAGAGACTATGGCCCAAGAGGGTCTGGTAAAGTAAATTACATGTATCCATTTACGTTTAATGTACACGTGCAATATGTTTTATATTTTCTGTGAATATTATACAAATAATCTTATTTCCATACTGTATAGACACCTTATTTTTTTTAAAACGGACGTTATCACGTGTGTATCCTCGTGCAAGTCCGATCCAATTTGATAAATAATGTTGTATGTGGTTCTCGTATCGCGCAACATTAATACTTCATAGCCTCTCTTCAGGTAGGACTCTCATACTGCAACACTTGTCTTTGTAAAGAGAGAAACTGACAGGACAAAGTCGCTAACCTGCCGGTCACCTCGCGCTGGCCGGTTTCAGTGGATTTACCATAATGGCTGTAATACGTGTGCACTCTAAATGTAGGTGCGCCTAGCTTAATCGCCTTCTCAGAAACAAGTGACAGAAACACTCAAAGCGGGTCAGACCGTTTGTGGCCTTTTCTAAGAAGTCAGCCACAGATGAAGTGATTGTGCTAGGAGACAATTCAGCAGAACAGTGTCTGCAAATGGCGATTTTGGTGTCTTTCTCAGACACTTTATTCGGGCTTTTGACGTTTTCGGCAAACACTGAAACTGCTATTTTTTTTGCTATTTTCAACGGATTAATTTCAGTGACTGAACATTCGGTGCATCCCTAGTCTGAACGATGGCATCAGAAAGCCATCAGATTGTCCTTTCAGTTCATGATGTTTGATGGCAGACAGTGTTCTGGCAGAATGTCAAAACTACAGTTTTATTAAAAAACACAAAAATAGGCCTACACACACGTTCTCTATAGATGGTGATTTTAGGACGTTTAATCTATCACTGCCTCCCTGAAGTGAACTCTCTTGTTTGTATTGTGTGTTATTTATTCTTCTGTAGCTCTCATAGTGCCCTTTCAACTCACAAAAAACCCTCTTTGTCCAAACAAACCCTCCCAACTATACCAGCATACCAGAGCACCCCCCTCCCACACACACACTTTTGTTAACACTGATTATGTTTGTGGACTCTCACAGACATTGTTTGTAAAACTAAGAATTCTGCAGCAGAATATTTTTGGAGACAATTGCTGTACAGTATTTGTAAGCTCTATTTTTGTATATTGCTCTTTGGGAGAAAATAATATGCATTTTTTTCCTTTTCTTGTTTTTGCTAATTTCATGTTTATTCATTTTAAGAAAATGTTGCATGTGACTGACTTGAACTGTAAATAAAATTTCCAAGTTTTGGAAAGATTTGAGTTTTTCCTTGCATACGCATTCAATGTCTTATGTAATGCTTAATGTATACAACATTTGAGGCAAAATCATATTTTTTTTAGATAGCCTACAAGTTACAGAAATTATTTGTAGTACAGATTCACTTATGGACTGAACACAAGTGTGCTCAGAAGTTTTATGAATATCCTTTACCTAATTTAAAGAGTTTGGAAGTTGTGAAGTTAACCAGAAACATCTTTAAATATTATGTAATACCACCACCTTGTGGTTGGACAGTTTTGGTTCAAATGAGCTGCATTACCATGGGTACATGTGCGATACCACTTTAGTCCTATACGATCCAATACCAAGTAATACCCAGGCTGGAATTGCCGATACCATACTGATACCAATAATTTTACATATTTTATTTCTAGTTTAATGTAACCTCCCCCCTGCCATTTCTGTATTTATGAGGGCTTACCAATTCCAAATAATAGCTGCATAATGACAAGACATCAAAGTACTGTCTAATTCTTTAATTATAATAAAAAATCTCCTGCTCAGAACCACTGCTTTATAACATCATCATATTATTGTGATTTAATCTCAGATGTTTAGCGAAGTTTGCAGTGTTGCCAAATTAGAATCAGAATAAGCTTTATTGCCAGGTATGTGTACACATACGAGGAATTTGACTCTGGATTGTACAATGCTCACGATGTGCTTACTTATACAATAACACAATAATACAGTAATAAAATCAAACATAGGCTACAGTATAGAGAACACACATATACATACTATAAACAAAAACAGACAGACAGATTGAGGCAATAGTGCAAAGAATGCAGGAGAAAAGTATTAATACCATTAATGTTATTATGTACACGTCGGAGGTGGATGTGATACACAGGTGCACATACACAAGCATACATGTACACAGTGTGATGAGTGCAAAGAATTCTGGGATAAATAAGTATTATGTGCAGGTGTTATGTGCTTGAGGTAGGTGGATTTAGTATACAATATACAATATGAACAATATGAACAGCTCTGAAATGGAGAATGATGAATAAATAAATAAATGGTAAGTGGTAGCCAGTAAACAGGCTGTTCATCAGAGTGATGGCTTGTGAGAAGAAACTGCTCCTAAGTCTGTTAGTTTTGGCGTACAGTGCTCTGTAGCACCAACCAGAGTGGAGAAGCTGGAACAGGTTGTGTCCAGGGTGAGATGGATCTGCAGTGATGTTTCCTGCCCGTTGCCTAACTCTGGAAAAGTATAAGTCTTGAGAGATCTTAAGATGATCTTTTCTGCAGTCCTTATTGTCTGTTGTAGTCTTCTCCTGTCCTTTTTAGTGGCAGATCCAAACCAGACAGTGATGGATGTTCAGAGAACAGACTGGCTGTGTAGAAGTCGATCAGCAGCTCCTTATGCAGGTTGAGCTTCCTCAGCTGGTGCAGGAAGTACATCCTCTGCTGGGCCTTCTTGATGATGGTGTCAGTGTTGAGCTCCCACTTTAGGTCCTGGGAAATAGTGGATCCCAGAAACCTGAAGGATTCCACAGCAGACACAGGGCTGTTGAGTATGGTGATGGGGGGCAGGGGGGAAAGCACACACCCCTGGGGGGCGCCGGTGCTAATAGTCCGGGTGCTGGATGTGATGTTTCCCAGTCTCACCTGCTGACTCCTGTCAGTCAGGAAGTCTGTGATCCACTGACAAGTGGAGGCTGGCACAGTGAGCTGGGTGAGTTTGGTGCTGAGGATGTCCGGGATGATGGTGTTGAACGCCGAGCTAAAGTCCACGAACAGGATCCTAGCATATGTCCCTGGAGAGTCGAGGTGTTGTAGGATGTAATGCAGTCCCAAGTTCACTGCATCATCCACTGACCTGTTAGCCCTGTAGGCAAACCACAGGGGGTCCAGCAAGCAAAGTTGTTCACTGTCTTTGCACACACATCACACACAGCGTTATTATTACCTTCACAGCTAAAATACAGCCAGACATGTCTGCTTGTACAGTCAGCCAAAGTCAGTCACGGGAAATGTAAAGGGCTGCAGAGGCTCACTTCAAAGAAGCTCTGTCACAGAGTTGTAGCGCAAGCATGACTTTGACAGGAGGAAGGAGAAGTAGTTCCAATCAACCGAGTAGCTATAATTAGACCATCCTGGTCTAATTACTTATGATAAAACACACACTTACTCCAAATTACTGTGTTTAGATATCGATCCTTTTATGAGTATCAGTCCTACAGCAGGAAATGTTGGTATGAGAAATATCAATACTTTAGTATCGATCCGCACATCACTACGTCCCAACCAGCTGCAGCAACTCAGACCTCCCTCCCCAAGCCCATCTCCTACAACTACACCATAGAGGATGTATGTAAATAAATAGTGAATTAATTAATATCTGAATGATATACAATACATGCATTTACCATCTATAGCATAACAAATGGACAACAGCTGTACTGCAGATGCAACAGCAAGACAACCCCCCTAAAAGGGAATGGTTTTTCAGGCGGTGGCCACAGACAATTGCTCTCTCCTTATCTTGTCTGATACTGATTGTTCTCTACCTTGATGCAGTACCTGCAGCCCATTCAGGTTGCACAGGTTGTCCAGCTCCACCAGGAGGGCACATCCATACATGCAAAAAGGTTTGCTGTGTCTCCCAGCATAGTCTCAAGAGCATAGAGTAGATATCAAGAGACAGGCTTTTGCACGAAGAGAGCTGGATAGTGAATAGATGGGCATCAACCCAGCAGAAGAACTGGTATCTGCTCCTTTGTGCAAGGAGGAACAGGAGGAGCACTGCCAAAGCCCCTCAAATTAACTGCGGGCTACTAATGTGCAACCAAAACTTTCAAATAATGGTTCAGTGTTCCAAATCGAAATACATAACATACAGTGGTGGAAAAAGTAGGCCTATAGATCATTTGCTTAAGTAAAAGTTCTGTTTTCAAAGCCTTAGGCTACATAATCACTAATTTGTGAGAGAAAGTAAGAAAGTCCCACCCTCTCTCAACCTAACCGGTCAAGGCAGTAAGCTGCTGACCATGTTCCCCCCGCCACCAACCCAACCGGAAGAGGCAGTTGGCTGCCAACCCTGAGTTTGGTTTATGCACCCCCTTTTGTCAACCCAACCGGTCACACATTTATTTGTGTTTTACAAGTAATGCATCCACCATAGTGATCTCTGTGGTCTATAGCTCATTTGCTATAGTTTATCAATGGGTTTTTGGTTCTGTCTTCCAAATACAGCCTACCAAATAGTTTATTTTGACAGACCAAACACTTTGCCCATGTCTATTATCTGATGTTTAGATCCTTAATATAATTCATGCAATTGTGCTTTACTCTTATTTACTCTTTTTTCCCCATAAATTCATGTTGAGAGTAGCAGAGTACTTGAAGTACAAATTGGTGCATAAAAAGTCACCAGAATGCAGCAAATGAAGTGTGACACTTAAAATCTCATGGGTGCCCCTTCAGCCATAGGCCCTTGATTTCATGGATCATCCCTAAAATAGGCTATAAAATTGGCTATAATTAATGTAGCCTATGATTCATGAGGATTATTCCCAATGAATTGACTTTAATAAAGATACCAGCATGAATGGTTTTCTTGCCATCACCAAAAGCATGGCAGAGCAATATCATAAACTTCACTCACTTAAACTCAAAGAACAGAAACTTTCTAAATCCCACTCAGTCTGCGATCCAAATCCGGGTATGGTGGGGGAAGGGCCGGATTGGCGAGTTTCGGCCTTCCCCGACCTCCAAATAAAAAGGTGAGCTCCCACGAAAGCCATTATTGCCTAGCTCGCACCCTGAGTTCATCACAGGAACTTCTTGGTCTCGTGAACAGGTAAGAGACATGCTTTATGAAATGCTTTCAGTTAGACTCATCAGAGAACGGCTAATTTAATAGGTTAGGCTATTAGTTGTTATACCTTTTGCCAATGCATCATATAGTGACAGTAAACCCAATGTATGCTGAAATTGGTTATTTGTTCTTCACTCTCCCCACCAGGATTCTTCTGCTCTCCAGAGTAAAAATGGTGGATTATGAAGTAACAGTATCCACTGGTAATCTCCTCGGTGCCAGAACTTTTAACAGTGTCTTTATTAAACTGGTGGGCGAAAATGGGGAGAGCGAACGCACGTGCCTCATGGACCACAATTTATCTTTCGGCGGAGGAGCAGTAAGTCTAACCTTTTCTAAATGTTTTTTCAACTTTGCCTATAGGCCTATATGATTATAGACACAATGAATAACAATTTAGATAAGCTGATGTGAACACTTGCCAACTGTGCAGCAACAAGATAGGAGCTGTCAACCTATGAGCTTCATAAAATTTGTAGGCTATTGCATGCAGTTTTATTTTGTGCACCCTTCTGCATTAAGCCTAATTAGAGAGGCAGCCTCGGCTGTTTCAACCGTTTCAATTGAAGCAGGCCCCGCACTCCAAAGGGCCCGACTGAATTGAATAATTTACCCACTTTTGAAATAAAACATTTATTTCAGTCTATGTGTAGGCCTAGTGACCATAGACTATAGGCCTATATAAAAAGGAAGCGACATAGACACGGGAAGATGGGGTGCAGCAACTCCCTCATCCCTCTTTGACCGTGATGCCTAATGGTAGCCTACTCTTCAGTCCAGTGAAGTGTGGCAGGATGGAGTCTCGGGAAAAGCGACAGACAGACCCGCGTTATAGCCTATGCTCGTCTCTATGAAACGGCTGCATTGTGATAAACTATGATGAGCTGATCGTGGGTCACATCTCTCGCTCTTCCAGGCGCTTTCTCTCCCTCTTCATCTCCTTCAGTTCTCATTAGTTCCTCTTGTTGACTGTGTAGCTGCTGCTTGGACATACACTAGCCTTTGTTGGTGTTTGCTGTCTGCTGAGGTGTAAAACATGATCAAATCGTTGTAATTTGTTGTTAATAACTATTAGATAAGTTATTCTGGCAATTCAAATGAATTTGAATATCCCGCACCATTTAGGCTAGTATGACGTCATTATATATAGACCGGCGTCTATTGTTATAGAGATAACACAAAAAAAAACAATAATAACAATAAAATGGTGATATCAGTAGGCTATTACTTTAGTAATTCTCTGTTTTTTGACACTAGCAATAGGCCTACTATTGAGTTTGCTATGGTGATCTTATCGTGAAGGCATTATTATACTATAGTGTTCATAAACCATTGCCTATTGTTTTCTACATGTTTTTGGATGCACTCTAGAAAGTTACTTTACTATACATTTACTATAACATTGTAGGTTTTATTGTGTGTTCAAAAAACAACTACAGAAACACTATAAAATACAATCCAATTCAAAATAATTTAAGACTACTTTAGAGATGTATTGAAATATTATAGTGCTACTATAGATGATAAAATAACAATACAGAAAAAACTGGTGAAAAATACTAACATTACAAACATACCATAGGACAAACATGGTATACAATAGTAATACTATGGGTTATTTTCATGAGGGCGCTGTTGGCACACTTTTCAGTCTCAGCCGTTTTTATGTTAGAATACTCTAACATACAGCAAATGAATAAAGGTATCATCTATAAAGAAATATAAACATTATGTAAGTTTATGTACACAAATGTTTTCCAACATCTGGTTATTTGTGATTAGAGTCATGTTGTGCATTTGTGTGACAATTATTTTCTGGTCCTTTAAAGGTCTAGAAAACAGAAATGTAACGACAAAAATGTTTCCTTTGTTAGGCAAAAATGTGCAGATAATGCATTTAAGTTGAAGTCCGAATATATATCATTATTAATGCAAACTGAATTATAGTCTAATTTCTTTTCTCTTTTATGTTTTTCTTTTTGGGGAGGGGGCACATGAGCTCTTGAAACAGGCCCCTAGATGCTTAAGGCTGCCCCTGAGTAATTGTATGCTAGTTATTGGGATGCTACAGCTCAGTTCTTGGTTATTAAACACACTTTCTCTTCACATCATGTATAACTGTTTTCAAATAATTTCTGTCATTACTCCAGGTGTGTTCTACAGTGTCCTGCCCAGTCTCCATTGGAAAGCTGGTCCTGATAGAGCTAGACAAACAGCCTCTCCCGTTGTTCCCAGAAGACGTATGGTTTCCTGCCAAGGTGGAAGTGAAATCCCCTGAGGGAGACACCTACAACTTTCCCATCTACCACTGGATCTCTGACAGCAAGGTGCACCGTTTCAGAGAGGGAACAGGTTTGTGCTGTTCACCGACCACAGAAGACAGAAAAGACTTCTGAAAGCTAGATTATAAAAAGGGCTTATAAAGAGTAAATTCATGCCAGCATACCATATCAATAATTTTAAACATTAATGTGTTTTTTTCTTTAAGCTCTGACAGTCTTTGAAGACAACCATCATCTTGGCAGGTACAGTCGGCAGCAGGAGCTGAAGCAGCGAGAGCAAGACTATCGGTAAGAGTTCAGAGCTTATAGACAGGAACTAACAGCATCCAAACCTCTTCCATGTTTGGTTGAATATATTCAAGATATGTAATAATACATTTACCACCACCAGAGTTTATTAAAATGTATTATACTATAAAATTGCAGTACATTACATGAATGGTCTTCTCTGTTTTTCCTAGCTGGGATGTGTATGTAGAGGGAATACCTCACTGCATAAAGGCAGAAAACCCTCTTTCTCTGCCCTGTGAGGTCCGCTTCTCCTTCACCAAGACTACAGAATTTCGCTACACCGCATTCACAAGGTGAAGTCCTCAAATTCTGTCACATGTCTATCTATCTTTGTAACTGTGTACCTGCTTACCTACCTGTCTATCAAACCATTAAAGGGATAATATATTTTTTTAGCCTGACTGAGCTGCAACTGAAGGGACTGGCTAATTGCAAGAAGAACTGGACTAATATTCAAGATATCAGTCAGGTGTTCTGCTACAAACGGACTGACATATCAGGTACTGTATATCATGGTAGTTTTATGGAATACTTGATACCATAAGCATGATAGTACATATACATTCAACTGTGGCCATTCAGATAATCAACTGTATTTCAATATAACAATATTAAAACTGTTGTTTTCCTAAAGTAAGCTGAAATCTATTGGCCTCTATTTTGCTCATTAAACGAGAGAAAGGACAGAAAGAACAGAAGGTCCTTTGTGTACATATCTAAACAGGTAGAAGTTTCCTAATTTTAGGCTTTGCTCTTGAGAAAACATTTTAGTTGCATATATTCAAGACTCTAGAGAGGCAATAGAATTTGACTAGGAACATTGTCTATTCATGTCTGTGACTCTGGATTCTGTGAAATGCATTGTTTCCCATTTTCCTGTTTGACAAGCAGTGTGCAGGTAAGACAACTAGTATACAGTAGATTGATTGATTGATTTATTGAACTTCTTTATTGATTGTAAATATAAAAGTGGCGTCTCCAGCAAGAGATGTCCCAACTGCAAATACCGTCTAGCAAGATTTTCATAGTCCAAAATCACTAAACTCAAACTCCTTCTTTTTCCAGACTATGTCAAGGAACATTGGAAGGAGGATGATTTTTTCGGCTACCAGTATCTGAATGGTGTCAACCCCATGCTGATCCGACGTTGTACATCTCTGCCTGATCATTTTCCGGTCACTGATGGCATGGTCTTCCCCAGTGGTCAGTGTAGCTTGAAAGATGAAATGAAGGTAATTGTCTTGATTTTGTTCCACGACACATTTACTGTAGAATTGCATGTTGAACTTATATGTCCACTGAATATCCGCACTGTATTACAGTGGCCTTTCACATAAAACATTTCAGATTACAGAAAAGGTGGTGCAACACTTCTTGTTTGTGATTGGACAGAACCCAAGTCACTGGCGACAGTTAAATGTCATTTCCTGTTTCTTTAGTGTACTACTCTTAGCAGTGTCCTTGCACAAATTTGGTGCAAGAGGAGATTGAAAGCTTAATGAAATATTTTAACAAAGAACGCTTATATGATGTGATTCTCAAAATGCTTTCAATAATCATGACATGAAAATGTCCCACCTCTGTCATTATGGTGTGAACACCGGGGCATTCCTACGCTTCTTCCAGAATGACATCAGATTTGGGATCAGCACACCAGCCTCTTACAGTATAGGCATGTGTAGAAAATAATAGCTAGCCTAACTAAAAACAGCGTGATGAATGTATCCAAATGTAATGCAGTTAAAGTAATGATTTTCCCAAAATTCTTTTAACCGGTACCTTTTATCTTACTCAGTTAAAACTGTTCGCACAGTTACATCTATCTGTCGCTTCCCACACCACCCCCCACACATCTGTTACATTGCCTGCACAAACAGAGAAAAGTAATATTGGAACAACCTAGCTGAAACTGGGCCTGGTTTGCGTTGTGATTGAAGTTTAAGGACGTTTTATGTTCCCAGAAGTAGGCTGAAACCTGATACATGAAACAGACTGCAGAGCAGCGCTAACCACAGTCTAAGGTTTGATCTTTTAACTGAAATTAGGCCCCTGGTATCTTAAAAAGGGTCAATGCAAAAATTTGGAAGGGACTAATTTCTTCCCGAAATACATTATTTTGAAGATGAGTCCACGATTTGCGAACTGTTCCAATCTAGCACTTGTATTGTCCCTCCCAATCTAAAATATTGTTGACCATACTGTACTCAATTAAAGCAAATCATTTCTCATCCTCACTAAAATTCCAAACAGAAAGGCAACATTTTCCTGAGTGACTACAAGCGTTTGGATGGGTTGACAGCAAACACCATCAATGGGAAGAAGCAGTACTTGATGGCTCCGCTCGTCCTTTTCCACAAGACACCTGATGATAAACTGATGCCCATTGCTATTCAGGTAAGATTAGCACTCAAATATAGCTAATAGTAAAGCTGGAAGTTAGAGTATTGATTAAGATGCATATCATTCAAACCATAATGTAGATACCTCTCCTGCCTGCGCCCGAGCCATATCCAAGTTGACTGACTGTTGAGTGTGACACAAACTTATTTAACTTATTTACATGACACACAAGCATTGATGAAAATAGGAATTTCCCCATTCAGGGACCAACAGAGTATTAAACTTCAAAGACAAACCTGCCAAGCAGAACAAACCTGCAGTAAATAGGCAAACTTACAACAATTACAGAAAGTTCTTTAACATTATTGACCAAGTAAGACTAGTAATGGAATGGATTGAATGAACCACATCCCCCTTTGTTCTCCTGCAGCTGAAGCAGACTCCAGCAGTGGACAATCCCATCTTTTTTCCTACTGATTCTGAGTACGACTGGTTGATGGCCAAGATTTTTGTGAGAAGTGCAGATTTCAGTGAGCATCAACTCAACGTTCACCTGCTGTGCACTCATCTGCTGGCTGAAGTTTTTGCCGTGTCACTGCTGCGGAATGTGCCCATGGTGCATCCACTGTACAAGGTAACTGTGAGGGATACTAAACATATTTTCATTGTCGGGAATTCCTCACATTAAGTAGACTGTGTGGATTATATTGTATATAGTTGCTCGTAATGCCAGTTATGTTATGTTACCAGCTTATAACATAATAAAGAAGAACTCCACCTGGTGACTCAGGGCTCTCTGATGAGCCCTGTAGCTGCCAATATTATCCAGATACTTTTAACAACTTTTTTTAATCTTCCAAAATTTATGAACCATAATATTTTAATATGTATAGATTTGCAAGTATTTCCTACTGCTAAATGATATATAAGCATCTAGACTTCTGACTTTGTTAACAAGTAATAGTGTTACTAACATATTTCTCTCTTTCCTTCAGCTTCTCATACCTCACACTCGCTACACTCTGCAGATCAACAACTTGGCTCGACTTCTTCTAATATCTAAGACTGGAGTTTTTACACAGGTACGAATAGACCAAGACACTCAGTAGATCATTACCTAATTAAAGTTTTTTTTTCTCGTAATATAATACTTACATATTTGACTGTTCCCCAGTTTGCAGCTTCTGGTGGAGAGGGTATGATGACAATCCTGAAGAGATCACTGTCCTCAGTGACCTACAGCTCCCTCTGTATACCAGACGACATTGCTGAGCGTGGGCTGGAGGCTGTGCCCAACTTCTATTACAGGGATGATGGACTCAAGCTTTGGGATATTATCCACAGGTATTATACGCAGTGTCCATTTTGCATTATGTTTATATATATATTTTTTTTTACAATATTTATATTGGTGCAAAATCATAGATGTTTTAGTGACGTGAAGTAGCCATGCTGCACAATATGAAGGCTTACACTGTGTTGGGCTTAGTTAGAAGACATTTAGATGCCATGAAGCACACTAAAGTGAAATAAACATGCTTTGCACAGTGTGTGTCTAAGATGAGGGTTAGGCCTGACATCAGAGAATCCAGGGAAAAAAGTCATTAAATATAACTAGTGTAGTTTTATGCTAGAAACCAAGCAAAGAACTGAATCACATGCTCATGCTCATTTCCTCAACTGAAGTGATGGTAAAGATTACAGGGAAGATCAGCTGGTGAGTACAAATGCTGCACATCTGTGTTAATGAGATTACTCCAGCAGGGAGCACCAATCCTCACAGGGAAGTATGGAATCATGTAGGGGACTAATTTCAAATTATCATGCAAACTTGAAAATGAAAATGTAATCCCACAATGACATTTTCATTTTCCACATATGTATGTACTATTTAGGTAAAAATTAAAGTTATTTTGAATGTTCATTTTCATTATCACATACTTGTGTGGGCATTCTAGGACCATATTAAAATGAAAATGGAAACAGCATTTGACATTTCATTTTCAAAGGCTTTCAAAGTAGAATTTATTTAAATGCAGTTAGCAAAACAGCTCCCCCAGTCTTTTGTATTTACATGTTTATGTTCTCATTGTCTTTTTAGGTCAAAATTAAACTTAAAATGCCATTTTCTAACTATGTGAAAATGAAAATGAGAACAGCATTTGACATTTCATTTTCAAAGACTTACTCTGCTCTAAAGTGGACAAATGCAATGAGTGAAACAGCACCCCCAGTCTATTGCATTTACATAGGGAAGCAACTTGATTATATAAATGTAGGATTAGAGAGTACATTTTATTCCATCTCCGGATTGTGCTCAAATTCTGTCAATATCTCCTTATGGTCCGGCAGACTGCGTAACCGTCTCGTCCTCTCTGCATGTTAGCTTGGCAGCAGCAACTATAATTACAGTGCTAACCCACAACCTAACTAATGTTAGTTACATTTTTTGCTGTGTTGCTCTCATGGTATCATGGTATTTATCATGGTGTTGGATTTCTATAGAATCACTTACTTTAGGTTAGGTAGCTAAAACTAACATAGTCAAAGCCCTGAAATAAATCCTCCCTAATGTTCAGTTTTTGTTGAAACTGAGAAGAGGCATCCATAATAATTTTTGGAAGCTGCAATTTGTAGTCCTGTTGTATTGTGTTAAACTGAGAGATTTTATTAACAATGGTCCACCCTCACTGATGTAAATGACGTGGACAAAATATTAGAAACACTTCTCTGTTTAACACAATGAAGGCCAGGTTTTAAGTACTCATGCTTCTGAATGTTGTCTTCCAAATAACATTGCAGGTCTGATCCCTATTAGAAAAGATAAGAGCAGTGCTGCTGCAATTTAGCTGCTTTGATTTATTGTTGAGTTGCTCTTTAAATGTCGAGTGGCCCAGGTGTTCGATTAACAATACCTTAAAGAGATGACTGATAAATGGGTGATCTAAACCTTAGCTACTGGTTCTTGATTGACTATGGTCTGGCAGTGGGCTATAAAAATGTTCTAAATGTTCCTGCCTGAACTACTTTGATAGAGAACCTAGGTGAAATGAGAGGATGGGCATAACTACTCTACAGCACTAAAAGTGTCGGTTTTACCAAAAAGCAATCATCAATGTAGTTGAGTCCTGCAGCTTTACAGGTGATGTCCGAATATAATCCTTTGTATTATTGCACAGGGGACAGTATTAGACTGAGAGAATATTTAGGGCTTAAATAAAACAAAGACTTTAAAACAAAATATGAAAGAAATATATTTATTTACTATGTGGTTGCCAGGGAAATATGAGACACCGGGTGAAAGTCACTGTTTGCCTAAAAAAAACACAACTTGTCAATTTTACATTTTTGTTTGTGTATGACTTAAACAAAGGAGGTACAATGCGTACTGATAAAATTCAGAGATGACATTTGAACTTTGAAGCGAGCCAGGCTTGCAGTTTCCCCCTGCTTTCAGTCTAAGCTAAGCTAATTGCCACACAGCTGTAGCTCCATATGTAGTGCACAGATATGAGAGTTGTAGTGATCTTCTCATCTCACGCTCTGCAAGAAAGAAAATAGGCATGCTTCCGAAAATAATATCCTAATAAATTTGTATGATCCATTATGTCTAATATTGCATCAAAATCTTAGAAACAACAGATCTGATCATTCTAAAGAGATGACCTTTAAATTGTCTTAGAAAAGAGTGTCTTTCTGCTGTAGTGTGTTTTATAGAATTTTTCCTAATTTCTCAAAGGTTCGTGGAGGGAGTGCTCAGCTTCTACTACAAGAATGACGCCGAGGTCCAGCAAGACTCCGAACTGCAGAAGTGGATTCTGGACATTTTTAAATATGGATTCCTTTCCCAAGCATGCACAGGTGAGCTTTAAATAAAAGCTCAATCTTCATGATTATAAACGTGCCATTATATTATCATAATGCAAACATATGTCAAACTTTAAGATGTCTAGATATCTTTAAGTAATGCAGTTTATTCTCTCTAATTCTCAGGGATTCCACAGAAATTTACCTCCGTGGCAGAGTTGGTCAAGTTTGTCACCATGGTGATCTTCACTGGCTCAGCACAGCACTCTGCTGTGAATTCTGGACAGGTGAATACTTTTAAAGCTATTTTTGCAGTTTACTTCAAACTGGAGAGACACCAGTGACACCTGACTTTGTGTACTGTAAACAAGCCTTTACCCCTTAATATGTACTAGTCTACAGCCATGATAGCGGGTCTGTGAGGCTGTACTTTGGCACAGTGGTGCTTTGAGCTAAATGGAACAAATGCTAACACATGATGATGATACTAACATACTGACTTTTAGCAGGTATAATGTTTACTAAGATCACAATCTTAGTTTACCATGTTAGCATGCAAACATTTGGTAATTAGCATAGCAGTACATACAGTAAAGCTATGCTGCTACAAATAAACATTTTGATCTGATGATGGCACTAGATGAAAGGTCAGAGGATCCCCAAAGTTATTACAGTTCGTCCTGCAGCAAACATGAATTTCTGAACCAAAGTGAGGGCAATCCAGCAGAAAGTTTGAGACATTTCTCTCAGAACTACAAATGTCAGTCACATGGTTGCACTAGAGGAAAAATCAGGGGGTCACTTAAGTCTTTAGGATTGATCATCTGGGGACCAATGCCATGTCTTTTATTCCAATCCACATTTCATGGAAATACATCCAATAGATGTTGAACTATTTTAGTGTTGACCAAAGTAGTGGACCGACTGACCAACAGATTGACATGGCATGGTTTAAAAAAGTATTAATCACTCATCTGTCAATCATTCATCAATTGCAGTATGACTACGGTGGCTGGATGCCCAACACTCCCATCTCCCTGCAACTTCCTCCACCAACCACAAAGGGGACGACAAGCGAGGCCACGATGCTGCAGACATTCCCTGACATCAACACAACAGTTCAGGGAATGGCCACCTTGTGGCTACTCAGCAAGGACTCCTCTGACTTCGTAAGTGCCAAATACTTCATAAAAAACTACAGAAACTAACATTTCAGTTCAAGTTGTGTAAGGGAGGTCAATATGAGCCAAAATACCCACTTGAGACAAAAAAAAAGTCCTGCTCACTTCCTACAGGTGTACATTATGTTGCCAATAGTTTGATGTTTCTAAATCTTTTTTTTAAATGTTTCATTGATCTTATCAGGTCCCGCTTGGCCACTACCCAGAGGATCATTTCAGTGAGAAAATTCCCTGCCAGCTGATAATGGATTTTCAAGAAGAGCTTGAAGTGTTAAGTGTAGCCATCAAAGTCAGAAACCAGAGTCTGGACGTCCCGTACACATACCTGGATCCAATGGAGTTAGAAAATAGTGTGGCCATTTGAGTATGAGCTGTTCAGTTTCATAGGAACAAAAGTGAGAAAGGTAGGAACTGCCTGTTCTGATACTGACTGATACTATAGTGTAAAGAAACTACTGCATGTGACTGATCTGTGATTGTTATACAGCCAACTTGGTCAAAATGTACTGTTCTAAATGGTAATCCACATCTTAAATCTTCTTAGCTTGTCACTGTATACACATTGCATCTAATCAAATGAAATCACTGTAGGAAAAATATTATTTTGTATAATGATTGTAACACTTTAGAAGTAAATTGTGCCTTGACATAATGAAGCATAAATAAGTGTAGGGACCTATGTTTGGCTAAATTTACTATGTGTAATGTGTCTGTATGTTAGAAAATAGGCTGAAAGGAATACAAAACCTCTGAGTGTTTCATCTCATGTGAAAACAAGTATGGATCACCTAGGGCATACTATGTTTAATTCTGTAGAAGAAAGAAGGTTCCTGTCACCAGAGAAATAAATATTGCAGCCCTGTTCTTGCTGCATGTAATGAAGAACAGATTCATAACATCAGTGTTGGATGTCTATCCTCTCCAAAAAAGATGAGTTTTCCTCACAATTACAAATGTAAAATGCAAAATATAAGGTTGCATTGTTTCTTAGAAAAGAAAATAAACATGATGCATGTGTATATAAAACGAATGTGGTTGAGTTGTCATTTAATAATCACACAAAAAAAAATTTGATTTTGGATATTTAAATTAAACATCTTCATTATTTGTCCCTATATTCAACACATTCTTCATATCATAGAAACTTTTCCTTATCTTACGCTATGTTGTAGTGTTAAAGTGTGAATGTCTGCATTTAAAACTTTGTGTGTGTTGTAGTTCATTTTCAGTAACTACTGAGTCATTAAGGTCAACATAATGATGAGCACCTGCGAGATCATTATAATCATAATTACCTACCTACATCATCTCTTATTATTAGTGTTATTATTTACTGGTAGGGACATTCAAAAACAAAACTGTCTTTAGTAAAGAGGGACCATTAAAGATTCTGAGTCTCCAAACAGAGGTGCTTATCGTTATTAGTTAGTCCAAATTTCGTTTCTTGGCAGTGGCATTCAATTTCTCCTGTTAATGGTCCTTTCTCTTTTTCTTTTCCCTTCTCCATTTCTTCCCTTGTCCTTCAGATCATATCTCTTAAAAAACATTTTAGCCAAAACACCCTGAAAAGTAAATATTGTCGCAACTGGCAGGCAAATAGCCAAACAGAGCTTGTACCTGCAAACATGGCGCCCCTGTCCCAGCATGCAACACTGCGTGAAGTACCTTCACATTCTCTGTAGTTGAATAAACTGTGATTCATCTGCTTTGCATATTCTAATTCTTACACCACAGTGATTACAACATCTAAAAATACTAGCTTTCATTAAGAAATCCTAACCACCTTAACACTAAGGTGACACACACCACTAAAGGGCATTACACACTGTTCCCAATTTGTATTGTAGACACGGTTCATCTGTGTGTGTGTGTGTGCGTGTGTTTGAGGAAACAGCAACTTGCACGTACAGAACAAATTCATATGACTGATTGAATCAAGAATGTGTGTCATCATCTGTCCACATTAAGAAACAACTGTAAACCATTGTGGTAAGTCATTTTTTAAAATATGGGTGAGGCCGCATTTAAAGTCTCAACAGTCGCAGTTCAGACTCAACAAGTAATTCTGATGTATGTTGACACGCCTGGGATACATTTAAGGTCATTAATCTGAGCCATTTCTCACAGCCTGATTAACAAAACACACATTACAAGGAAACATAATTTGAAAATTTTGTTTCTGAGCGGGAGTGTAATATCAGTATTCAGATGATAAGTTTTGTAGACAGATAAATATTTAAAACTGAGACTTTGCAGTATATTAAAAAGTCCAAAATGTGTTTTTTAAGGTTTGTTTCAAGAATCCTTTTTTTTTTTTGCTTCTTGTATTTAGACTGAAATACAAACAAATATTGATCTCTTTGTTGAGTTCTTTGATCACCGGTTACTGTCTTCTTAAAACCATGACCTTCACATTAAGGTAGATTATTTACTTCATAGATTAGACAAATAACATATTTTCTTTTAAGACTGTTTTCTTTATACAAATTAGTTTGAGAAACAGTGAAATTGTAAACCTAAATATCCCACTGGTACAAGTTTAGCTTAGTTAAAGTTTGTGAAAAATCTTTTAATGAAGAATATGCTGGGGCACGAGAAGTTTAAAAAAAATGTCTCATGACAATAAACGATGAATGAACAATGAAAAGACACAAACTGAGATATTCCACCAAACTTTTATTATACCATTTTAACACACTGGATCATAGATTTTCTAAACCTATCAACACGAACGATGATCAATTTATATAGTTGAACATAAATGACACTGTATTGTATAAAATAGATAAAGTCATCACAAGTTAGACTGTTAAGAGGAACTTGTAGAGAACAACACTGAAGTGACACACAACCAGACTGCATGTGTACATGATCGCAGGATGTTCAGCAGCAGCAGCAGTGTTAGTGGCAGTGGTGTTTGTGTTTATCAAGTTTGTTGCCGCCGCTGTCGTGTTGGTCGCAGCAACGGTCGTGGCTGTGGTGTTCGTGGCTGTGGTGTTCGTGGCTGTGGTGTTCGTGGCTGTGGTGTTCGTGGCTGTGGTGTTTATTGCTGCTCCAGTTGTGTCTGCCTCACCATTTACTGATGCTAGTAATCAACAAATAAAACATCAATATAAGAGAGGACTGTTTCATTTTTTTAAAAATTCATAGCAATGTCACACGAAAAACACATTTTACTCACCGACGATCAGGAGTTGGATCAGAATTGTCACAAGCATTTTAAATCTCTCTTACATCTAAAAGAAGAAAATGAAAATTATGTTTTACTTGATCAAACAAATGCTACCTTCCACTTAGCATGCAATTTAAAGATTTACCAAGTCTATTTGAGATTTCAAAAAAAAGAAACAGAAACACAAAATACACTACATACTAAACATGTGCACTTTTTTCTACACACTAAAAGACAAGAAAAAGATTGTACTTACAAAACTTCTCCGGGTTTTCTTTATATAGGTAGCTGCCTTGAGCTGTGATGTCAATGGTGCTTTCTCTTGTCTGTCTTTGGGGAACTCAACCTCTAAGATTGTTGCTGTCTTTATATGGTGAATGACAGCCATGAAAAATGATGCGAAAGAGACCCAGCTTTAAACATGTTTGAGGGATCATCATTCCTTCCACATTGGTCACCTTAGGGTAACAAATTGCTTTGTTTAACTGTAGATGTTGGATTATTCAGCTGCAACTTAAAGCAAACATGTTCTGGATGAAGTTAAGGAGCTGTCTTGCAGTGTGACACAAAGACAGCAGTGTGAACATGACAATCATGAATTATTTGTGTACTGGCTGCTTAGGCAGTACCTTACCTTAACAAGGAATGTTTTGTGTAAAGTTTATAGAATAAAAAAATAAAGGTAAAGAAAAAGCAAGGTGTGTTTGTGCACAATCTACTCTCCCAATCGACTCTGCTATTTTGGGTGAGCAAACAGTACAATGTTTTTGATTGAAACCCTGTCTCGTGTTGCATTCATTTGGGCTGCATTATAAAGTTATGCGTCACAATCAGTATGAGTATTGTATAGGAGATCAGAACAAAACTCCCAGTGACGGCACCAGTAATACATTTTTATTCAGTTCAACTGCTCCAGTGATTCTGGTACATTCATGTCGTCATGTGATAGTCAACCATCTATGTTTCAAAAGGATTTCAGTTAATGGTGAGGGTAATGTGACTTCACGGTCATTGAAGAACAGTAACTAATGCCAGTTTCCATAACTCCTGTAGAATAAAGAAACTAACAATAAAAAATAAGGTGACCAGATTTCTGAAATGAAAAATGGGGACATTTTTGGTTTGGGGGTCAGTATTATCATTAAAAAACATAATGTTGTTAAAGATGAAATAAAAATGGGGGACGGTTTCGTCATCTGTCAAATATAACTCTTCTGAATGAAATCAAGTCATTTTGATGCAGAAACTACCTTTCAGTCAGTAAGTAGATTCTGCAATCACTTTCTGGCAAGCAGAATACTGCATTTTATGTGTTGTTTTGACCATTTAAAGGTATTTTAAGAGGTAAACAGTACTAGGTGAATTATAATCTGTCAAATATAACCCTCATGAATATAATGAAGTCATTTCAGGGCAGAAATAACCTTTCAGTTAATAAGTAGAGGCTGCAATCACTTTCTGGCAAGTGGAAAGCATTACATGGGTTGTATTGGCCATTATTTTAACATGTAAAAAGGACTGGATTGGTTGGTGCACAGCAACTTAAATAATGTAGTCATAAGAATATTTGCTAAAGAGATCATGTCCTTATGTATAACTCAGCCATGAGTCATCATAGGCTACATTCCGTTTTCCAAATATAAACAAGGACATACGCCTACCAAACACATATTCCATCTGCAACAACAGGCTTCTATGATTGGCTATCATGTAAATGTCAGGCCTGGTTACGCTATAAACTACAAACACATATTTGGCCACAATTGTGTTTATTCTGTTAAAAGAAATGTTAAAGTATCACAAAGACATACCTTTGCTATTACCACAGGCATAAAGTGATGTTTATTTGCACATTACGTTTGTTTGATCCAGATAAAAGCAGCTGTAAAGGGACTGGGGGCGATATAGCTCCTCTCGCTCTCTTTAAAAAGCAGGGTAGTCCCAAAAGATCTGAAGATTGGAAAGGTTATACCGTTATTTAAGGTAGGGGATCCTAGCCTTTTCAATAATTATCGACCGATAGGTGGCAGGTGAAAATTCTAAATATAAAAAATGATATGGAATATAACGCAGTAATCAGCTTTTGGACAATGCATGTTTCTTCTATATTTCAATTGCATTACATGTTTTCTTATTGTGCGTTGTTTCATTTGTTATTTAGCATTTCTCATTTTTAACAAAAGCTTTCAAAAAGAGATGGAGACATTCTGATTCTGACCCCCACTGTAAATGAAACCTATCTGTCAATATTTTTAAATGTCCCGCCCCATCCAGGATGTGATTGGTCGCTTCACGAAAAGTGAGATTGACGAGCTACATTCAGCACATGGCTGCTGAAAGGCACCCAAGCTGGTCTTCTCTCGTGTCCCTCGTCTCTCTCTGCCGACAGAGTTTAGCAGGCAGACGAGAATGGGAGCAGGTGACCGTCCTGTAGCGTCCAGAGAACCTGATATGGAGAGGGCAGAGGAGAATACCGGTGTAACACCAATATCTGTGACCTATCAGATTCTGTGACTACACCCAAATGACGATGTTTTCCTAACCATAACCAAGTACTTTTGGTGCTTAAACCCAACCAAGCTACAACCACTTCACATTGTCAACAAAGCCTCTGGCGCTTAACTTCCCATTTGGGTCACAGAATCTGATAGGTCACCCATTTTGCGTACCGGTGCATACCGGCCCACTTCAAGCATTGGCTATATAAGAATATTAAAACACCTGAATGACAACAATATCCTGTATAAACATCAACATGGATTTCGACAACACTCAACATATATAGCTTTGTTACAACTTATAGACAAAATTTACGCAGCATTGGACAACAATATGTTTGCAATTGGTATATTTTTAGACTTATCAAAGGCTTTCGATACAGTTGATCATGAAATTCGGACTTCCAAACTTTACCGCTATGGTTGTCAGGATGTTGTTATCAATCAGCTTAGTGACTACTTGAATAATAGAGAGCAATATGTATCTATAAATGGCAGTATTCCAAGGGAATGAAGTTATGTTGTGGTGTACCTCTGGGATCTATTCTCGGGCCACTTCTGTTTCTCATCTATAGAAATGACCTTGCTTGGATGTCTGAATCTGCATTGCATTCTATTCGCAGATGATACTAATGTCACATCACATGCAAACTTCAATTCCTTGATGAGAGAAGCTAATGATGTTCTACTATATACTGTAAAGTGGTTTCAGATTAACAAACTTTTATTAAATATAGAAAAATCATTTTTTTAAAAGCATCCGCCAACTCCTGGACAGTCTGTGGTGCAACGTGGCATTGGTGGATGGAGCGAGACATGATGTCCCAGATGTGCTCAATTGGATTCAGGTCTGGGGAACGGGCGGGCCAGTCCATAGCATCAATGTCTTCCTCTTGCAGGAACTGCTGACACACTCCAGCCACATGAGGTCTAGCATTGTCTTGCATTAGGAGGAACCCAGGGCCAACCGCACCAGCATATGGTCCCACAAGGGGTCTGAGGATCTCATCTCGGTACCTAATGGCAGTCAGGCTACCTCTGGCGAGCACATGGAGGGCTGTGCGGCCCCCGAAAGAAATGCCACCCCACACCATTACTGACCCACCGCCAAACCGGTCATGTCAAACTCTGTCACGTCTGTCACATGCTCAGTGTGAACCTGCTTTCATCTGTGAAGAGCACAGGGTGCCAGTGGCAAATTTGCCAATCTTGGTGTCCTGCACGGTGTTGGGCTGTAAGGAAAACCCCCACCTGTGGACGTCGGGCTCATACCACCCTCATGGAGTCTGTTTCTGACCGTTTGAGCAGACACATGCACATTTGTGGCCTGCTGGAGGTCATTTTGCAGGGCTCTGGCAGTGCTCCTCCTGCTCCTCCTTGCACAAAGGTGGAGGTAGCGGTCCTGCTGCTGGGTTGTTGCCCTCCTACGGCCTCCTCCACATCTCCTGATGTACTGGCCTGTCTCCTGGTAGCTCGGTGCCAGCTAACAGGCTGCCAGCTAGCACCAGACTGCTCTGCCCTCGGGCCGCCCGCCTGGGAATTCCCTGTCTGGCCCCCCTGTCTGCTCCCTGGTCTGTCTGGTTTTTGTTTGTTTTGGCCCTTCTCCTGTCCTCCCTCTGCCCACCCTGGTTCAGTCTTGGACTGTTTTTATTTTTTGTCGTGTGTGTGTGTGTCTTGTGCAGTTGGTCTATGAGGTTCTGTCTTCTTCTTGTTCTGAGTGGTGGTTCTGGTCTGATCGTTCCTGTTATCTCGGTTTCTGACTTAATACTTGCTCAGTTCTGTTCCTGTCTCTCATGCTTGGGTTCTGTCTGTTTGCTAAATTTCAAGTTATGCTCATGTCTCTCACCTGTGTATCCCCACCCAGCTCGTTAACTGTGTGTGTGTGTGTGTGTGTGTTTTCCTTCTAAACTGTACCTGCTCCGCTCTGCGTCCTGCATTTGGGTCCACCAACCTGCTCACCGTACCCTCACACAACCATAAGCCACTGGTCATAGCAGACCAAGTAAAGCTGTAGCAGCGAGTGTACTGAGGTGATTACAATTGTTTTTTGTGTAGATGACATAGTGAAGGGTAGTTTTACTTGTTATATGATATCCCATTTAGGGATACTATTAGATTCTGCAGAGTTTATTGATAAACAATGCGTGTTCATGAGTTTGTTTATCAACAGACTGTTTATCAACAAACTCATGAACGGACACTGCCATGGTAGGAAAACCAGATTTATTTTTCAGAGCACACGAAAAACAGAGAGCTACCTACCCATGAGGAAATATTCGCTGAATTTAACAAAAAGTGTATTGGATTAAAATCGCAAAGTACCCCTTTCAGTGTATTTAAATGACACTATACTTACAGTACCTCTTGTTAAGATGTAAAAGCACTTAGGTTCTGGTGTGCTTATGTTACATTTATAAAATAACCTTCATTGTATTTTTTTAATATCTGTTCTGCTTTCCCAACCATCAATTAGTGTGACAATTTCATGAACTTTAAAAAGTAAAATTTTATTCAATTTAAAATCATGTAAGAGAAGAAAAGTTGGTTTTATCTGTTTTTCAGGCATTCAGGCTCATAAGAAAATGTTACCAGGCAAAAGGCTAATCAATTATAGCATACCTTTTTTTTTTTATCTTTATTTAACCAGAAAGAAAACTCATTGAGATTAAAAATCTGTTTTTTCACCAACTGGTGAATGTGAGGTTTAAAAGAGAGAAAATCATCAATTAGGATACCGATATACTTGTATTGAGATACAGACTCAATCTCGGAGGCCTGAGAAGTAGTGATGGGTAGAAGTGTCTGTGACTTTGATTTTGCACTGGAAAACAACATAAGTTTAGTTTTGTCATCATTCAAAACAAGTTTTAAATCAAACAAGGTACGTTGTACAGTATCAAAAACAAGTTGTAGCTGACAAAGAGCCTGGTTTGGTGTAGATGCAGAGCAGTATATCACAGTGTCATCAATGAAAATCAAATGAAAATTTGCGTTGGAGACATTTTGATCAAGAATGTTGGGGCACACCCTTGGATACACTAAGAGGGCTGGAAGTGAGACCATCTACCTGCACGCCTACCTGACAGATAGTTTCCAAACCAGCAGACTGTTTGTTCTGACAATCAGACACTGAAATGTTTTTGTTTAAATATTGCGTGATCCACAGTATCAAAAGCCTTAGATAGATCAATGAAGGGAACTGCACAATGTTGTTTTTTTTTTTATCTAAAGAGTCAATGAAATCATTTACTACTTTCAGGGCTGCTGTAGTTGTGCTGTTTTTTTTACAAAAGCCTGATTGAGAACGAGACAATATATTGTTAGTAGTTAGAAACTCTTTCAATTGTTCATTCACCAGAGTATCCATAACCTTAGCCAGGACGGACAATTTCGAGATGGGTCTGTAATTGTTTAAATCTCCCCCTTTTAACAGAGGAAGAACAAATGCAAATTTCCATATAAGTGGAATTTCATTCGTGTCCAGTGATAGATTAAAAAGATACTGTATGTCAAAGGTGGTGCAATAAAATCAGAATTGTCACTGGGTGAGCTGGGTGCAAACATTTAGAAAATCAGGAAAAACACCTTTTTCAGTTTAAGCCTTTATTGTTCTTATAATATAACTTAAATCCAGTAAGCGCACACCATGGCACTGCTAGCCGTGTTGGAAAGCAGCCTGCGTCGCTCTTTAACAAGCCGGCAAATAAATACTTTCACGTTCCATTAACGACGCATTAAAAGTGTCTCTGCAGAGCAAGAAAATAAGGCTCCAAGGTATCAGGACCAGATGATTTTCTAATGTCTAAAGGTTTGAGGGCTTTATGCACCTGTGACTATAAGTGGATTAAAACTAAAAGAATTACTCACTCTAATATGACCGTGAGTATGACCTTTAGGGTGATTCTGATGTGAAATGTTGAGGGATTCAAACAAGGAAGCAGAGGGAATAAAATGCTCATTAAAACGGCCAAGCATTTCAGCATTATCAGATATTTTATGTGAGTCCTTAAGAATGAATGGTGGCAGCTCGATGCCAGCTTTATTTCCAGCCAAGGATTTAATCGTCTTCCAAAATTTGAAGGGGCTGTTTAGATTGTTTGTCGTTTCTATAAGAAAGTTGTCTGCTTTGGCTTTTCTAATAGCGATTGTGCACGAATTGCAGTCTCCTGAAGAGCAGCCAGTCAGAATCCAGGCCTGTTTTCCTGGCTTTTTCCCAGGCCTTATTGCACTCACGAAGAGAACTGGCTAACTCTGAAGTGAACCATGCATTGTTTCGACCTTTTACTCTATACTTTCTGAGGGGAGCATGCTTGTTAACAATTTCTTTAAAACAATAAAAAAAAATTTCCAAGCATTTTCAACATCAGCAATAAGATTTTATCCCAATCAAAATACCATATATATATATAAACCCTTGTTCTGTAAAATGCTTCCTGTCACGCTAAATGATGTGTGGCTTGGTTTAGGGAATTTTTGTATTTGTACGGCAACACAGTGGTCACTAATGTCATTTGCAAATACAGAAGCTGCTGAGTAAGGAACATTGGTTAGGATGAGATTAAGATCAATTAGAGATGATTTATCTGGACATTTCAGATTAGGTCTAGTTGGACTATCGACAAGCTGGAAGAGATTTCGCGAGTCACAGTAAGCTTTAAAATCATCAGATACTGGTTGTAACCAGTTCCAATTTAGATCTACTTGAGAAAGAAAAAGGAATCTTAACCGTTTGTTGATGATCACTTCAGTGCCGACCTGACGAGAGGCTATATGTAAATTTATTTATAACTTAATACATCTATTTCAAAAGCTTTTATTGGGTTCACATGTAAGTCCTCCCAAAGTACATGTAATATTTCAGACACTCAAACATAAGACATGTAAGCAAAGCAGTGAACTGATGCCTTTTTATTATTTGAGTCTTAGGTCAAATCTGGGTCAACCTTATTACTTTTTTGCCCTTTGGCCTTTACATTCTGCTTCTGTGACTTCTGCAGCAGAGCCAGCGTGTCTCTCTTCTCAATTTTCCTGAGTTGTTTTTTCTTCATCCTCTTGATCTTTGCTGTGTTCCTGATCTGTGATACAAATTAGACAAGAGAATATTAAGAACAGAAAGTAAAATCACCAACACAAAGATTCTGTGTGCTTGTGTTGCTAATTAACACCTGCCTTTCACTTCATTACCTCTGTTTTTAATAGCAATCTAATTCTGAAGCAGAACTTTCTCCATATCTGTAATGCAAATCTAATGTGTGTTAGAGAAGATATTTAACGTAACAATTATCTTGTTATTATTATTATTATCGTATTATTGAAAAATAAGTTCCACATAGGCCCTATGTATATGTGGAATTTAATACATGTGTATGTACATTTAAATCACACGTACAATAAATAAACTGTTCAATATAATTATCTGTGTTCCACTAAGGCATTACGACAGACAAAAGTCTTTACACTATAAAACTAACTTAAAATAATTGTTATTTTTAAAAAACAAACAAAACACTGGTCAGTGTGTCAGTTAATAAAAGTCTGTAGTTTCCCCAACTGCTGGTTTCCCCAACTGCTGGAAAAGTGATGGCAGTTAGTGCTAGCTAACATCTCCCCTGTACAGCACATTTTTCGGCTATTATGTAACATTTGCTAAATTTGTCACTTTTAACAAAGTAAAATTAATGTACCAGTATAAATACTGTACATCCTGATAATTATATTTCAGTGTTCAGAGGAGTCTAACAACTGGTTGTTAAAGAAATAAAGAACCATGGAGTTGAGGTTAAGGAAGTAAATTAGGGTTGCATGCTAGTCCTTTTAAGCTAATTAGGAGATGTTTCTTTTGGATTTTAATGCACAAATCAAATGCTTAGTAATTATCCAGAGATCTTGTATAGAAAAACAATGATGCATCAATAATTGTTTTATTATCGCATCGCAGCACTCTGATCGAATTGTGCCCAGAGATTCCCACCCCTAATAAAGAGTTATCAGCTCTGCAGTACGGCTTTTCAGTTGTTAACGTTCTTCTTTGATCCACTCTGACCTCATTGTGTATCAAAAACTGCAAAGCATTACACCTTCACTTTTGTACAATAAGGTCTGTGGGTTACAGCTCGTGTTAACACCTTCATGGTTTGGGTTATTATGTTGCAGACACAGTGTAATATGAACTGCTTGTAATACAATTCATTCTCGCATATTCTGTAGACTACTTGTACAAAATTGGAAGTGGCGTGTTTGCGTGGTGTTAGGGTGTCAGTTTAACGGTTGACATACCACTTGCACAATCTCTGATTTGCGTTCGTTCTCTGCGCGGCGTTTCAAGTTGTCTTCTCTCCTTTTCCTCTTTTCCTAAGAAGCCAAGAAATACAGAATAAATGAAAAGGTGCAAAAAAATTAAAGGTTAAAGGTTTAATTAATCGACAATTTTAGCTTACCTCTTTCTGTTTGGCTTTCTCCTCTTTAAGCTGCAAAGTAAACTGTTTCACCAGGTCCTTCTCTCGCTTGGCCTCCATCTTCTTTTCCCAAGAAGTGCACAACTGTTTATCTCTCACCACTGCTGAGAACCTAAAAGACATAATCCCACATACCAGGTTAATAGAATACTACAAGACTAAAATACAAAATACAAGACTAATTCTAATAGTGTCTCTCATTTATAAAGTGTGCCATGTAAATTAGGGATGCACCGATTCAGTCTTTTCAATTCCAACCCTGAGAAGAAATCTGTTGACCTCACTGCACTGAGCTCACTTTAATCATTTTAATATAATGTAACATGAGGAGGACGACTTTGTATGCAGGTTTACCTGCTTCAACAACGCGCTGCTCCGTGTTGCGTTAGATCGTTAGATGCTTTAGGAATAATCAGATTGTATTGGCTGCCTGTGCTACCGCAAAGTAAGTGGTTTGGTTGGCTACATGTCCATAATAAAAGATACAGCCAACAATAGTGGCTGGGCAGCAAGCGTGATATTTTAAAGTGATCTTATCAACATCTTCATGGAGATTTTAAAAAAAGAAATGAATTGTTTTAAACAGAAATATATATAATCAACCAGCAAAGCAAATTGCATTCCCAAGAAATAACTATGTTGCAGCTGTTTCTAACCTGATGAACAGCAGATGAATATAATATATATAATGTATATATAATATTATTATAGTTTTACTTGAGTAGGTTTGTAATTTTTTGCTCTAACTTTTTATGGGAGTAATTGTACATTTTCTTGAGTAAAGATTTTGAGTACTCTACCCACTACTGCACCAGTACTAGCGCTGACAAGAGCAGAACAGAGTCAAAGCCAGCACAGTCCAAAGCACCAGTTTATGGTAAGACTGATGATGATATGACTTGTTTAGGCCTAGTTATCTACTCAAGGGCTCAGCTGAAGTGATTGCTTTAGGAGAGTTAGAGAGGGGTTTCTAGTTTTGAAAATGTATTTTAAAGGCTCATTTAGTTATGGACTCTACTTGCATAAAATTCTCAGGAACGCAGGAATAAATGTCTCTGAAGACCCAGAGGCTCCAACAAATGCTTTGTCTGGAGAGTGGGCCGACCAGGGAAAAACTCCTGGGCCACTTTTTTAAAAACTTGTGTCCTGAGGTGTGTGTCACTGCTACGTGTCCATAAACAATTGAAAAGTAGTCAAAATGTTCACACAGAGATGAGCATCCTACAGTATTTAAAGAGGAAGAGGACAGAGGTCACAGGAGAAGTAGTAGAACAAACTGAGGAGGACGAGCTTGTAAGTCGTATGGATAGCTACTAGACGTAGTAAATTCTATAACTCACATAGTAAAAAACTTTGTTAGACCAAAAGCATGTCATAAAAGTTTGCTTTGAAGACAGCTCTGTGTTCACAAATATTTGTTGCAGGAAGAGTCAGGCCCAAGTGAGACAAAGGGAATATCACAGACAGCTCACAAGTGTAACATTGGGATAACTAAATACATTTGTACTGCGGCTAGCTAAATAAACTAGTAGCTGTTCCATGGTTTTAATGGTATGTAGTCGGTTTTGTTCTAGTTATATTATACTCCGTCTCTCTGACCTCTATCCGAGTTTTTCTCCATCTTCTGTCACTACAAATACCCTCTTTCAGCCACACTAATAAGTACATTCTGTTTTCAAAAGCAATTAGAAATGAGCATTTAAGTGCTTTATTTAAATAAATAAAAATAAAAAATCAGGGGGGCATGCCCCTGAACCCCCCTAGCATTTCAGCGTCCCCGCCCAGGTTTAGTCGCTCCTACGCCCCTGCTTAAAGGTAACTGGTAACGTACAAAATGTCCCCCTGAAATGCAATACAGTGATAGATAATAAAAGAATATTCAAGAAAAGGACATCAGCTCAAAACTGTACTTAAGTAACGTTTGGCCTACATTATAGATAGGTTCGTAAACTGCATGCTGCCACAGTGATATCCTCACCTCTGCTTGTTGCGGTCCTTCCACACTCTCCCAGATTTAGGTTTTCCCAGCGGTATGACCGGGTTTTGTTTTCCACTCGAAACCAAACGAGGCTTCTTCTTTGGGGCGGTCTCTGTACTCGTGGGTCCCCTTTCTACTGGTGCAGGCCCGGACAGGTGAATGTCACCACTCCCGTTAAGGTCGGATCCGTCTGTGTCTGCAGCAGTCTCTGAAACGGTACAGGGCTCCGGTTCAGCGGACATACTGACCTTCTCCTCGGGCAGACTTTCGGGTCTCCGCGTTACCTCCTCCGTGTTTTTCGCTTCCACCGCCGGCAGCTCCTGGAGGACAGACCTCCTAGTCCTCCGGCTGGGAGTCCTCACCGGGGCTTCAGAGTCTAGCAGTGCTGCAGGAGTGCGCACTTTGCGGCCGCTACGGGTTCGTCTAGTCTCCGGCGGCGGAACCTGGACCTCCTCCTTCTCCCCGTGCCCCACTTCAGAACCGGGCTTTTCTTCGGACATAGCTGTCTGCCTCTTCGACATGATTTCTAATTAAAATGACTTCACCACATTACTCTTACAAACTTGTGAACCCACGTGTGATCACCGCCAGCGATGTGTACGTTGCTTTATTTCCGCTTCTGTGGCGGATGGTAAACAAGGAGGAGCGCATTACCGCCACCTGCTGGTCTGGAGGGAGAACTCAAGTTAACTCAACGCCAAGTATGTGACGACAATGGTCAGGGCTCTGTTTCAGAAAGCAGGCTTAACAAACCCTGAGCCTGAGACTGGAAACTGGAAAGAGTTCGTTGAAGTAACCCTCCTCCCGAGAAGGTTAGGTTCACAGCATAAGTTGGCGGGGTTATTTGATGTCAGTCTCTGAAACAGAAAACCCAGAGTTTCCCAACATACTTAAGAGTTTTCACTAATCCCACTTTCTGAAGCGGGGCCCAGTACAGCAGAAAATACACATAGAAGAGACCATATTAAACACAAGTAACTAACTAAGATTAGTGGCGTTATATTGTTGTGGGTAAGATTTGGACATTAAGTTTGTAATAAAAGTTTTGATTGATCTGGCCGTAATGTAAAAATATGGTTCTACTAGGCCTACCATGTTTTATATATATATATGCCATATACGCCATATATATATATATATATATATATATATATATGCCATATATATATATATGCCATATATATATATATATATATATATATATATATATATATATATATATATATATGCCATATATATATATATATATATAAAATATATTCTGTTTATGAGGCTTAGAGTATGATATATGTTGAATTAAAGAAGAACATTTGAACAATCTCCACTTTAATAAGAAGTATTTTACCTGAAATAAAATAATCTCATACTCAAATTGGTGAAAAAGGTGTATTATTTTTCTTTTATGAAACACACAAGCATACATTATTGTACAGATGTCTTAATAAACTTTTAAAAAAAAAAGAAGGAAAGAAGAAAAACTATTCCTGTTTGTTTAATGATCCAATGTAACCTATTATGTAGTCATGCAAAAAATTAAATGTGTTCATTATTGATATGGTCTATGGAATGCCTAATAACTTTCATGCTTTGTAGTTGATAAATAATCCAATGTCTCTAAAATGTAATGTGGATTTTCACTTTCATCAGTGCACTTCAAATACTATCTATTCATTAACTTCATGTCCTTCACATATTTCATCTGCGTGTTTCCCCTAATAAAACAAGCTAGTGAGTAGATGAAATGAAATAATTTTTCCTTTTCTTAATTTAAAGAAATGTAAATATATTCTTATGTTGTATTTTTCAGACCAGATTTTTATTTGTATCCTTGGTAACACTGCGTTTGCATCGTTGGTTCCCTCATAAACGCTACTAAAACTAGATGCCCATGCGCATAATTTCACTGAAATAAAACGCGCACCACTGCCATCTACTGGTTAAAGAGCGTTTTCACACCACAACAATTCAGCATCACATGACTTTACTTCCTCAACTCATGACGCCGCCCGTTCAAAATATCGGTGGACTCGAGGAAGTACAGCAGCTGACTGGTCAAGAAAATACTTGATGTAAATGTACATTAATTTGACTCTGCACTTAAAACCGGACAGCAGGCCTCGTGTGAGGACTCATCATGTCTCTGCTCGCAGTGGGAAGCATACTGCTGCTGCTGTTTGGATATTCAGTGAGTACCTTTGATTTTAAAAACGTTTTTATACTCTATTCTCGACATTAAAGCAGTTGTACCCGCAGCTTTACTGCAATAACATTAAGCTGATAGAAACACAATATATGTCTACTTTTATGAAAAACCCTGCCACCAAAATTCTACATAAAGGACTGTAACTTGCTGTGAGATTGATTAGCACATATCTGAGTACATAGACCTTACACACATCTAAATGGCAGTTATTAATACCTTTTGATAGTCTTGAAGGTATATTAAGTAAATGTGCAGATTTGCCATACATCGGGTACTTTTGGCTCATAATTTCAGTTTTTGTCTCAGTTCAGTAAAACAAATACATTCTTGTGTTTTAATCTAGAAGCCAAACTTCAATTTGTAGAAAGTCAAGGTTGCACTCTCTGGATGACACGGTCTAAACTCAGTTGAGATGTCAGCCCAGCCCCATGAAAACATGAAACTTTAACCACACATTGAAACGCAGTATAAACTGTCTACAAGTGGTGATCACTGTGATGCCTATAAAGTCAGCTCTGATTCAAATTATGATGTGTTGACCTGCAGCTCGGGGCGCCTCCGTCATTCAGCGTGGATTACAAGAATGACTGCTTTCGGAAGGATGGGGAAGAGTTTCGTTACATAGCAGGAAGCATCCATTACAACAGGGTCCCCAGAGTCTACTGGAAGGATCGACTGCTTAAGATGTACATGGCAGGACTGAATGCCATCCAGACGTAGGTTTGACTCGTGTCTCGCTCTCTGCACGCTTTGCTCTGACTTTGATTTGTTGTTTCGGGTCACAGGCTGCCATGTCTCCACTGGCTCCAAAACAAAAAGTAACTGACTTCACATTTCTGTTCCAAACGTTTGCATGTTTGTGCTCCATTTACTCATAGTGGATTAAGAAAAGCCTTGTTTCATATAGACGGTGTTCAACAAGTGATCAACAGAGCTGGACATCTAAAGACAGGCCATTAGACCACATAATGTGACAAACCTCCTCAAATTTCTGGTACTAACAGCGTAGTGGAGATAGTTCAAGTAACTGTGCACTTGATGGACACATTGTACCAACTGTTGCTACTGTCTGATGTTTTAATTGTCTTATTTTTTGTTTATGCACCCAGGACTCCCTGTAAAACAGTATCGATACAGAGTGAATTATCCTGGTCTCTTGTGTATATGAGCCAGCCACAACATTCAACTTCCATAAATAACTTGAGTCGTGTGTTTGGATTAAACTAACACTTCATTCTTGTTGAAGGTACATCCCCTGGAACTATCACGAGGAGTCTCCGGGCCTCTACAATTTTAGCGGAGAAAGGGATGTGGAATATTTCCTTAAGCTGGCCCAAGACATCGGCTTACTGGTCATCCTTCGGCCTGGTCCCTACATATGTGCAGAGTGGGACATGGTGAGTGCGTTCGTCAGCAGATGTACACATCTTGAGTTTGAGGGTATTCAGAGATAATTAGGAAATACTTAATATTACTTAAATATTTAACTGTCAGCTTACAGTACATATCAGAAACAGACTTACCCTTACAGAACAATGAAGAGACCTCATAATGAGAAGGCATTTAGATCCCTGCTGATGATCACTTCTACTTAAACACATTTAAGAGGGAAATATTGTACCTTTTAAACTACTACATTTATTTGATAGCTATAGGTAGTACTTACTTTGAAGATCAAGACTATACACAGAAAACATCTGATCAATTTATTTACAGACTAGAACAAACTATTAGTCGTAGGTTTACTGTTCAGTGAACTTGGAAGGATTCATGGTTTAATTGATGATTGCTGTACAAGTATGTAGTTCACTCCTTCACAAAGAACTGCAGCTGAAATCAGCTTTAATTAACATCAGTCAAAGTGGAGTCAAATCTTGACACTTTTCACATTGGAAAGAATTATTAAAACCATAACTTAAGCATAGTCTACCTCTCAGTTGTTCATTCATATGCAGAAATAATTAGTTTTGAGACAAAATAAGGTGAAATACACTGCTTTTAGGTTGGTAGAAATGTATTTGGCTATATTTCGGGGGAAATGAGAGTACATTATGTTGCAGGAGTGGTTTTGTATCTATGGGTGTTTTGGTATTTGTTCTGCAGTATGAGAACTAGTCACTACTGGAATGTTTTAGAACTGATAAGTGAAAGTGGACCGCAATCATTGTTCTTCATGAAGGACGATGAGAAACTTGCAGCTACTTTTTAAATACTTTATATTCAGTTAAACTTGTGGTCATTTCTTTATAGTATGCCATTTAAGTTGCACCAACCATTGTTTGCGTTATTCTGTCCACCAGGGTGGGCTGCCTGCCTGGCTTCTCAACAAGAAAGACATTGTGCTGCGGTCCTCAGATCCAGGTGAGAATCAAAGGTAAATAGCATGAATGATTGAATATAGGCACGGTTGTAACAATATAATTTGTGTATTTCAGATTACATTGCAGCAGTAGATAAGTGGATGGGGAAGCTACTGCCAATGATAAAGCCATTTCTCTACCAGAATGGAGGTCCTATCATCACTGTGCAGGTGGTTGATTCTGTTGCTGTGTATTACGTGTCATTACAGCACTTAATTCACGAAGGAAGTAACATCTCTGGTTGTGCCTCTGTTTGGTAGGTGGAGAATGAGTATGGCAGTTACTTCGCCTGCGACTACAACTACATGCGTCACCTGTCCACGCTGTTCCGCTCTCACCTGGGAGAGGAGGTGGTGCTCTTCACCACAGATGGAGCTGGGATCGGCTACCTCAAGTGTGGCACAATACAAGGTCTCTACGCCACTGTTGACTTTGGGCCAGGTAGGTGTCAGGTGGCTAGACAGTGTTCTGCAATTTACAGCAAATATTGATAGTGGGTCTAAAGGTTCAGTTATGTGTTGCTATGTGAAGTTACGGTTGTATTGCAAAAGCCATTTGCTAAGATACTTTACATATGAGGTACCTTACTTTAATATTTTGTGATTTAAGTGATAGGTTGTTTTTTTCCCTTCACATTGACTTAAAGGCAGAATGAGTCGGATTTGTTGGTTGCAGTTTGTAAACAAAACATTCATAGTTGGCCTCTCCTCCCTGGCTCAACAACACCAGAAACGTATGCCCAATGCTGTATATACTGCTGTATAAGTTCTTGAACGTTAAAAATACATTGTTAACAGTAATGTTAGCTACCGTCAGATATACTGTATACCAGCTCATTACAGACAATAGCAGTTGAGCAGTGAGTCAACTTACTACCGCCATGGCTTGTGTTTTCGACAGAAAATGATTCTAAGCTCAAACCACAGACTGTATATAAAAAGGCTCAAACTCAGCACTACAACATGGAGGGTCTGTAGGTTTTCTCAAAACATATAGTTATTTGCATTGGTTGATAGTATGACTTAGTGTGGACGTACGCTGCTAGACACTATTATTGGAACATTACATTTGTTGTAATGGAAAAGTAGATTTTTTTTTTATAGCAATCTAACTATGTTAACCTCAGTGTTTGTAGCTGTTATTGGCTGGGGCTACACACACTGCCCAAAGGGTTTGATGCAGAAACATCCCAAACACAGCTAAATAAAAAAAATACAGGCAGAGGGCAGGGTGTCTGCAGATACAGACACTGCCATGCGTGGTGATGATTAAAAGGCATTATTTTTGCATGAGTCTATACATTGTTTTTAGGAAAATCCTACTCATTCTGCCTTTAATGACGCATTTTTGATGAGTCAGAAGTAACAAGGAAATCGCACAAATACATGTGAGCTTATGTTTGTGTTGTTAATTCTGTTAGGCGGAAATGTAACTGCTGCCTTCGAGGCACAGAGACACGCTGAACCTAGTGGACCTTTGGCAAGTATTTCCCTCGATACGGTTTGTATTTTAAAACCACACTACATTTTCCCTCAGATGCTCAGAGGGTTTTCCTCCTCTGTTAACAGGTGAACTCTGAATTTTACACTGGCTGGCTGGACAACTGGGGGTCACCTCACTCCGTCGTGTCGTCTGCCAGAGTGGCCAAGTCCCTCAACGAGATCCTGGCCGCTGGAGCAAATGTCAACCTGTGAGTCTACAGATTTCTGGGGCAAGTTAAGACACACTGATGCGGCATCATCAGCTAATGTCAGGAATGTGATCTAATTGTTGTTGGTATGGGGTGTGGGTGGAAGTAGCTGAGTGAGCCAACTGTTTTTGTGTACTTGTTCTGTGTATTCGTTGTGTACTAGTTATGTTTTGTCTTTGTAGTATGTATTTGTGTTTTTGGAACCCCTTAAAAATGAGATGCTTGAGGGTTAATAATTACATAATGTACATCTGCAAATACATGCTCTTGAAGAGAAAGAATAAATGCAGTTTACAGTTATTATTTGTGCTTTATTTAGCCTATGTCAACATTTGTCTCCTTACAGGTATATGTTCATAGGAGGAACTAACTTTGGATACTGGAATGGTGAGTGCACTTCGACAGACTGGATTAATGAGATGGCATAATCGTTTTAAGTAGAGCCTGACCCAAATGGAATTTTTAAGACCAATACCGATTACCGAGTATATATTATTAATAAATTAATTAATATTCCAACATATTGGCCGATTTTTTTTTTTTTTCTTTCCTTCTTTTCAGAAACACGCAACATATAAGATTATCCCTAACATTTCTTATGTGCAGTTATGAGACCTCACCAAGATAACATGACAAAAGTCAGCTTAAAATAAAACTTTTTTTTTATTGTTACTGTGATAAAAAGTACTTTGAACAAAAGTACAGTTAATTATGTCATATGATTGCTATGTTTAGAGTGCCTTCTGGTGGACCAACAATGCAACACAACATGATTGAAGGATCCGGGATCTGTCTCTCTGTTTCTTTATTTTAATTGTCATTTGTCGGCTGTTAAAAACACCAATATAGATAAATCTGCAATTAGCTCATATTGGCCGAAATTATCGGCACAACGATAATTTCTTCTTGTTACCTCAGGTGCCAATGCACCATACTTGCCGCAGCCCACAAGCTACGACTACGATGCCCCGCTCACAGAAGCAGGAGACCTCACAGAGAAGTACTTTGCTATACGAGAGGTGATCAAAATGGTAAGAACACCAGTGCAGCCCTCTAGTTTTGCTTTTAAAAATCACTTCAGCTGTATTCTGTGCAAACGTAAGGGGTGTTATTAGTTGTTGTTTTTTTACTTATGTACAGTACAGTGTACTGTAGTGAAGAACTAGTGTATCTTTTCACAACAGTACCATAAGATACCAGAGGGACCAATACCACCAACAACTCCAAAGTATTCCTATGGGACTGTTGTTATGAAAAAGGTAGGTACTATGTTGACACTGTGTTTCTATGAATTCATATCTGTATTAAGTTATTAAAGCCTTTACTTTTTGAGATCTCACTTTTTTGTCACCTGATTTAAAACATGAAGAATAAATACTAAAAAAGTAACCCTCTGTCACCTCAGCTCCAGACGGTACTAGACGCTTTAGAAATACTGTCTTTCTCCGGGCCCATCAAAAGCTTGAATCCTCAGACTTTCGTTGAACTGAACCAGGTACCCTTTAATGTTTTGCTGTTTCATGTAGTAAAAAACGTATTGTTGCCCCCTCCACACAAGTTCACCAGCAATATTTTGTCATATGATTGATGATGCTTTTTAACTTTTCTTCAGTTGTTGATTTATCTCTTCCCTGTTGGTCCTGTAGGCCTTTGGTTTTGTGCTCTACAGGACGACTCTGCCTGTTAACTGCAGCACACCAACTCCACTGTCGTCCCCGCTGAACGGCGTTCATGATAGAGCGTATGTGTCAGTGAACGGGGTGAGTCTGATTGTTTCTTATTAGATATTATACGCAGATTCACGCACATGCTCCACGCTCATTTCACAGAGTTTAACATCATTGCTCACCACTGGATCAGTTAAATGTGCAGCTGCCATCAAACTTTCAAAATATTTATTTGATACCATCAAATATGTCTGTAGCTTTTAGATTAGCAGCAGTATTTTTTACAGTTGCATGTTTTTATAGTTAGGTGTAGAAAACAGTATTGTTTTGGTATTTTGACTGTAACATTTCTATATGGATCCATAGATCCATATAGAAATGTTACAAATGATTCTGAGTTAAAAATGTTGCAAACTCTGATTATTTCTGATATGAATCGGAAGTCTGCCAACATAAAAGCCATGCTGATTTCTTCTGAAGGTGGCTGTGGGGATTCTCGAAAGGAACAAAGCCCTAACTATCAACGTGACAGGGACAGCTGGCAGTCAGGTGGACATACTGGTGGAGAGCATGGGCCGAATCAACTACGGAAGAGACATCAATGACTTTAAGGTTGTTGGGGGTTTTTTTTCAGCTACATTTTAAAGTGACTTTGTGTGCTGTGACATGTAGATGTCTGCCTAACTATCGTGGGGCTTTACTGTATTTCAGATGCACAAGTTTAACTTCTTTAGAGTTTAACTTCTTTAGAGTTTCCATCAAGCAGATATGTCGGTAGGAATTTCAACCTGTGTGAAATGATTGGTGACTTACCAACATGATGCTCCCCCTCTGCTCTTCCTGTCTGGGGTCCTTGCTGCACAGGGCCTGGTGTCCAACTTGACCCTGGGGACAGATACGCTCCTTGGCTGGACCATGTACAGTCTCAGTGTCGATGAAGCAGTCAGTCGCGGCCTTCTCAGTGAAACCAAACCAACAGACCCACCTCAGCCTGCTGCTCTTTCCCTTCCAGCCTTCTACGAGGGAAGTTTCATCATTCCTGACGGTATCCCAGACCTGCCCCAGGACACCTACCTCAAACTGCCCAAATGGAGAAAGGCATGTCATCCATACAGGACACGACATGTAGTTAGAATTGAAGCAATTTTGTCCTAAAAGAAATCTTTACTGATTTCAGTGGTACTGGTTCCAGCTTCTCAGATGTCAACATATTTTCTGCTGTCTTCTGCTGTAGAGTCTTGTAAATTGAATATATCTTTTTTTTTTGGAGGGTTGGTAATAAAAACAAGCAATTTGTATTCTACATCATGGATTTAGGAGTACCTGTAATGGGCATTTTTCACTAGAGTATTTCCCGACATTTTAAAGACTAAATGATTGATCAACTATTTCAAAATATGATAAACAAAATAAGGAAAATAACCGTTGGTCGCAGCCCAAAAAGTAATGTGTCATGTGTCGAGTTTTTTTTAAAGGCCTAATTCCTTTTTTTTTGGTTTGCATAAATTACAGGTATATAGATATTGAGGAGTTTGACCAGATGAAAAACTCAACCAGTCATAATTGAAAATATTAGCCCGTTTACACCAGTTTTTCTAAATGTCTTTTGTAAAATGAAATGCAAATACAGTAGACTAATTTAAATGTTTGTTTTTTTTCAGGGGCAAGTTTGGATTAATGGTTTCAACTTGGGACGTTACTGGCCGAGCCGAGGTCCTCAGTTGACTCTTTTTGTCCCGGCCAACATCCTCAGCACAGCTGCACCCAACAATGTGACTGTCCTGGAGCTGGAAGAGGCCCCCTGCAGCTCAGGGCCATGCAGTGTGGAGTTTACTACAACCCACATCCTGAATGCAACAGTCCTGTCTGACTACAAACAGCACAGGAGACTCTTCAATAAAGACGATTTGTTGTGATAAGAAGGGAACTCGCTGCTGCGCAAAAGGAATCAATTTGCACTTCTCGCTGATGAACAAATCCCAAATGAGCACATGCTGTGTGAGCTTGATGTGTTGTTTTTTTTTTATTTTAAAAAGCTGTAATGTGTGAAAGAAGGTAAATCTGGGACATCAATGATTGAACGTGTCTTTATGAAAAGTGTACAAATACATTTTTTGCCTTATGTTTTATTAAACCATCACATCAGCTCTACCTCGCTGATCCTGTATGACATTTTTATTGAAAACCTTTTTTTTTCTTCACAAAAATTGGATATTGCCAAGTGAAGCACTGTCAAATCATCACAGCAGCCTGTATTTCAGAGAATGTGTTATTTTTTTATGTCACAGACTCATCAGGGAAATACTATATGTATTATCATACAACTACAGGTGCACTGTGGGACTTCTGATATGTCCATAGATTAAATGATTTGTCCTGATTAAAGCTATATTTAATTTGTTGTAGTAAAGATGGAGAATGTATGTGAATCTCTGCCTAAACTGTGTCTTGGTGGCAGCTTTGGAAATAAAATGAATGGGAATAATGGGGGGTAAGATTACAATAATGGCTATGAACTAAACTCTTTTTAACAATATTTTTCTTGAATAAATCAGCGGTATGTGTACTGCAGTGTCCAGATGCTCTCTATTAGTACCTTTATTGGAAATCAAGCATTTCATGAATTGTTCTTGACGTAAACTTTATCTTAGAGGGATATTGGTTTGCAGAGTGGGCATAAAGTTATCTGCTAAATATTAATAGAAAACAAAGAAGATGCGGCACATTAAGGATTTTCTTCTTTGTCCATGTCAGTAGATATGAGACTATGAGCTTTTATGTTTTCATCAAACATAAACCAGGTGTTTTCAACGTTTAACGTTTTTAAAATGTCTCTACTGCAATATTATATTACTTATCAGCTGACACACATGCTGATACTGATATGTTTATATAACTTATCCGTCCATCTTCAATAGGTTAGATAGACATAGTAGTTCACACTCTGAAGCACAAGGTGGCGGTAGTGCGCCTAACACGCTGGTTGACAAATGACGTTAAATTTAAAAAGAAGAAGAAAACTCTTAGAAACGTAGAAGAAGAGCGCGGAGGCCTGCATGAAATTTAACAGGTAAAAGAAATAACGCAATTTTTTAGAGGTTTTGTTCTGCGCAGAGGTAAATAAAAACGTGAATTAAATATTTAACGTTTAGTAGTTGTTTAAATGTTTCGATTCTTATGCAGCCAGCTGTAGCTAACTATGATTAGCTTTAGCTAGCTGATAAGATGTTCACTTCAGGAAGCTTCCTTTGTTATTATTAGCTGAAACAATTAACGTTGAGCTACACGCAACATCCCTAACTAGCTAACAACTGAGGTTGTTACTGTAGCTTACTAACTATTAGGTTAAGCAACAGGATGTAATGCTGCACTTAAGACTAAGCTAAACACTAACCTGTGTGTATCTTTGATTCTTCGGCAGGTTGTGAACGCCTCTGTGTTTACGACGTTCCTCAAAATGCAGCACAGCAGCAATAGGATTGAGTAGAGTACAATGTTGTGTTACTCTGACACTGTCATACTACCTGGCAAGAGTTAACAGACATGCCGTGGTGCCTAAACACCAAGCGGAAATATCATTTTTAGCCATACAACACAGGCTTCATAACGCAGAGAAACCGCATTTGTATTTTTTTTTATCTATATAAGAGCAGTTTCTCCTCATAAATACGGGCTCAAAACGACCTGTCTGAATCTAGACCATGGTAGACAATCGATATGCCACAGCTCTGGTCATCGGCTCGGTGCTGAGCCTGCTGGCCACAGTGTACCTCTCTGTGGCTGTGGGAACTCAGCACTGGTACCAGTACAGCTGTACACCAGGGAAGGGGAGCAATGCCTCCGAGCTCAAAGAGGAGTTCATCAATGGAGAGTTTGATGAGAAGACTTACAGCGACACCATGTTCCGCCTGAACGGCACCCTGGGACTGTGGTGGAGGTGCATCCAGGTGCCAGGCCAGTCGCACTGGTTCAAAGAGCCAGGTGAGACTTCCTGATCAGAAAATGTCATCATCTGTCACAATACAGCTCTCTGCAGGCGGCATTAATCAAATGCTGAATGAATTTCACATCCTAAATCCCATACCATCAGGTAGATATCATGTTATTCAGACTTGATAATGAGGTATACTGATATCTACCGCAGTATAAATTATATATCAAAATCTCTGATGGCAGATGCATTTTTATCGTCTCGTGGTGGACTGTATATTATCGTCACACTGCCCACACCTGCATCACATCCTGTGTACTGGTTGAGTTTGTGCTTCTCTGATTCTGACTTTAGATCCAAAGATGGAGACGCAGTGTGTGAGCTTCACTCTTCCTCAGCAGTTTATTCCAAAATACAGGTCACCTGGAAACCACAACAGTGAAGAAGATCTGTTGAGAACATGTGAGTCTACCCTGTCTCTGTAGGTTGCTGTACGTTTTCTGTCTTCAAATTACCTGGACATATACTTGAATTGTGTAAAATTGGAGATTCATTAGTTGTTTTTCTTTATCACATGGGCCTGTAATTAAATTTTTAAAAAAGTCCCCCTCCCTTTACTGTCTTAACATGCACCTGCCATCTTTGAACATTAGATAATGTTTTTGTACGTAGTTTTTAAAAAAAAATTTTTTTGGTAATGTTCTCACTTTTTTCAGACTTGTGGAGGTGCCAGTTTCTCCTGCCGTTGGTGTCTCTGGCTTTAGTCTTCCTCAGCGGCCTTGTTGGGGTCTGCGCCTGCCTGTGCCGCAGCTTCACCCCCACTTTGGTTGTGGGAGTGCTCCATGTACTTGCAGGTGAGAGAAATGCATGCATATTTCGCATTTTCCAGCCACCGAACACAGAAAAATGGTATGGAAATGATCTTACCCAATTAAAAAAATAACAGAAGGTAGACATTGACGACATCGTGAACTAGTGTAGGATCATCAGAGTTTTTTGTCGTTATTGTCAAACAACCACCATTGGCGATGACAATCTCTGATGTGACTGAAGCAGAAATCGTGTTCGCGGACGAGGTAATGTGTTGAAGGATATATATAGATAGATGTAATATGATGCCATAGACAACCGACCAAATGAAATGTACCATTATCTTAAATAAAATAATGATTTATCTGGATATGAATATTGTTGGAAATATTTTGGATAATGTAAGTATTTAGGTCCTGTCGTTGTTAGATATTTTAATGCACAAATGTTACATATAATGCTTTCAATGCTCACTAGGGCTGTCCCAGACTAACGATTTACATAGTCAAATCAGAATTGTCAAGTCTTGCCTATAGTCAACTGATCTTCGAAGTGTGTGTGTGTGTGTGTGTGTGTGTGTGTGTGTGTGGATTAACTTATTGGGAGAAAACCTGTACTTCCATGTAAAATCAGATGTTGAGCACTCCCATATAGTCAAAATGATGATGATGATCCTCGTTTCTTAACGCCTCCGCGAAGATAGTTTTTGGTAGTTTGTGCTCCATGGGCTATGCAAGTATTGAATTTAGGGCTGTTAATATTGACAGGTATATATTCTTTATTTCTACTCATCTATTGTATGATTTAATGACACTTGCACTTGTGACACCCAAAAAATGGACAAATAGGAAACACCTTGACGATACTGCAGTATAAACATGAACATAAACTCTGGTAAAGGCTACAAAGACATCTGGGGTTTTTTTTGTTTTTTTTTTAAACATAGAGAGCGTTACTGACAAGCTATGAGATGACTCACGTCAGTATGTTCTGGAGGAGCAGACGGAGCCAGAGCGGCTTTAAAATGACAGCAATTGAAAAAGCAAATTAAAAGACATGTCTCGCTGGCAATTATCTAACCTACTATAGGGCCCTATGAATTCTGCGATGCAGAAAAGTCGGACAGAATCTCGGAATTCGCGTACAGGGGGAACTCAAGGTCCACTTGAGAGAGGCGAAGGAGGAATACAGAAGGAAGGTAGAACAGAAGCTGCAGCAAAACAACACGAGGGAGGTCTGGGATGGCATGAAAACCATCACAGGCAGCAAGAAGAAGGGAAGTATTGCAGGAGAGGGGGATGCTGGGAGAGCAAACCAGCTAAACCTGTTTTTTAACAGGTTTGATACTCCAGCTCCCACAACCAGCGATGGCCCACTTCACACCCCCATGTCCATCACCTCCCCCAATGCCACCACCATGTCCATCACCACCTCAGACTGCAGACCAACCCCACCCTCCACACGCATGGACAGTTCAACACCCCTCCCCACCACCATCACCAAGGATCAGGTGAGCAGAGAGCTGAGGAGGCTCCGTCTAAGGAAAGCAGCAGGCCCGGACAGAGTGTGTCCAAGGATGCTTAAAGCCTGTTCTGCTGAACTGCGGGAGCCACTCCAGCATGTCTTCAACCTGAACCTGCAGGTGGGGAGGGTCCCAGTGCTCTGGAAGATTTCATGTCTCATCCCGGTTCCCAAGAAAAAACACCCCAGGGAGCCGGGTGACTGCAGACCAGTAGCACTGACATCACACATCATGAAGACCTTTGAACGGCTGCTGCTACATGTCCTCAGACCCCAGGTTCACCATGCCACATGTCAGACACGGTGGTCAGCAGCACCGGAGCACCACACCGTTCTCTCTCCCGTCCTCTTCCCCTTGTACACATCTGACTTCCAGTATAACACCGGGCTCTGCCACATGCAGAAATACTCAGACGATACTGTGATAGTTGGCTGCATCAAGGATGGACAGGTGGAGGGGTACAGGAGCCTGGTAGAGGACTTTGTGAGGTGGTGCAGGACCAACCATCTGCAGCTGAACACCTCCAAGACCAAGGAGATGGTGGTGGACTTCAGAAGGAAGAAACCACATCTCCAACCTGTGGAGGTGGTCAGGACTTACAAATATCTGGGGCTGCAGCTGGATGACAAGCTGGACTGGACAGAAAATATGGACACTCTCCACAGGAAAGGGCAGAGCCGTCTGTACTTCCTGAGAAGACTGGGGTCCTTCAACATCTGCAAAAAACTGCTGCCGATGTTTTACCAGTCTGTGGTGGCCAGTGTCCTCTTTTATGCTCTTAGTTTGCTGGGGAGGAAGCAGCAAGAAGAGAGACGCCGGTCGACTGGGCAGACCGGTGAGGAGAGCTGGCTCAGTGGTGGACTCTCTAGTGACAGTGACAGACAGAAGGACCCTGGACAAACTGCTGTCCATACTGGACCACGCCCACCACCCTCTGCACAACACCTTCATCGGGCAGAGGAGTGTGTTCAGTGGCAGACTGCTGTCCCAGTCCAGCTCCACCAACCGACTTAAAAACTCTTTCGCCCCCCTGGCCATCAGACTGTACAACAGCTCCTAGTCATGGCAGGGAGGACAATAGACAAATCTGTACTCTTTACTTCCATCTGTACTCCATTTGCACTGTTTACTGTTTTTGCACTGTTTTACTGTGGCTTCTGTGTTATAAGTTATTTTAATATAGGTTTAATGTATGTATGTTTCATATGCTACTGGATACTTGAATTTCCCTCGGGATAGCTAAAGTATATATCTATCTATCTTCAACAAAAATGGAATCAGCTGGACTCAGTGTGGATCAGGG